ACTGTGGCCCGTTATCGCTGACGAAGATGTCCGGATAGCCGTGGACAGCAAATATGCTCTTCAGATGAGTAATGATGGCCCGTGACGTAGTCGATGAGAGACAAGGGACGTCAATGTAACGGGAGAAATAGTCGACAGTAATCAGGTACTGGCGGCCGTCGACATCACAGAGATCCGATGCGATACGCTGCCACGGACGCTCGGGGAAAAGAAGTTGTCTGAAGAGGCTCTGGAGACTGATGACGCTGCTTGATACAGGTAGTGCACTTGGCGACGTACGCCTCGATGTCGGCAGAGATACCTGGCCACCATGACGAGAAGCGGGCACGGGCTTTACTCTTCGTGACACCTTGGTGACCATCGTGCAGCTTCTGGAGGATCTCAGGCTGTAGCACGGACGGAACAACCAGGCGAAAGCCGTGGCACAAGACACCTTGCATGTGAGACAATTGGCCTCGCTCACGATGGAACGGCTTGATGTCGTCAGGGACGGTAGCAGGCCAGCCATGGATGACGTAGCGCATCACACTGGATAACACGGGATCTTCAGACGTAGCCTTGGCTAGGTCGGCGAGAACGGATGGACTTGTGAGATCTTCGGCAGTGGTTGATAAAACCATGCCGATGTCGTCTTGCAGAACGTTGTCAACTGATGCCGATGCTGGCGCTCGTGAAAGCGTGTCAGCCACCACCAGATCCTTGCCGGGAACGTGTATGGCATGGACTTCGTACCGGAGGAAGCGGAGCAGCATTCGTTGGCATCGGATGGGGACCTTTTCCAGGTCTCTGGTGTTGATCAGTGGCACTAGCGGCTTGTAGTCCGTCTGCACGATGAACCTGGGAGCGCCGAAGAGGTACTGGTCTAGCCTCTCGCACGTCCACACCGCTGCGAGGCATTCCTTTTCGATCTGCGCGTAGCCTTGTTCCGTCTTGGTCAGGGAACGGGAGGCGTAGGCTACTGGGCGCCAGTCGCCATCGTGCTTCTGGAGCAGAACACCACCAATGCCATAGCTGCTGGCATCTGCACTGACCATGATGGGACGCTTGGGGTCATAGTGCACTAAGCACGGGGCTGAAACGACGAGCTCTTTCAGCCGACGGAACGCGTCCTGCTGCGGGGAGTCCCAGAACCAATCAGTGTCGGTGTGCAGGAGCTGACGGAGGGGCGCTGAGATCGTAGCCAATTCCGGGATGAATCTGGCGACGTAGGTGAAGAGACCTAAGGCACGGCGAAGCTCAGGAACATTCGTAGGCTCCTTGAGGTCGTCAATGGCGGAGACTTTGCTGGGGTCGGGTTTCACACCGGACCCGCTGACGATGTGTCCCAGGTACTTGACTGATGACTGCTTGAGGTGGCATTTGTCGGGGTTTAGAGTGATGCCTGCGTCGGCAAGGACCTGGCGCGTTGTGTCCAGCCGGTGGTCGTGTTCAGCTTCGTTAGCGGCGTGGACCAGAACGTCGTCCATGAATACCTCGGAACCTTTGACGTGGGAGAGGAAGTCCTGCAGGCGTCGTCGGAAGATTTCCGGTGCAGAGGTTATACCGAATGGCATCCGGAGGAATCGGAACCGACCCACAGGCGTGATGAACGTTGTCAGCTTGGATGCAGACTCTGTGAGAGGCACTTGCCAGAAGCCGCTGTTGGCATACAGCGTGGAAAAGACAGTAGATCCGGCGAGCCTAGCCAGTGTGTCCTCAACTGTCAGAAGAGGGAAGTGCTCGCGCTTCACGTTGCCGTTCAGCTTCTTTAGGTCTACGCAGATCCGTACGCGACCATTTGGTTTACGAACCGGCACCATAGGAGAGCACCAGTCAGAGGGACCCGTTTCCCGGACGATGATGCCCATTTCCTCCATACGTGCGAGCTCTTCTGTGACCTTGTCCTGTAGAGGCAGAGGCACACGGCGGGCAACACCACAGTGGTACGGCGTGGCGTCGTCCACGAGCTTGATATCAGCTGGGGGCCCAACCATACAACCGATGGGCTGTGCTGGCTTGCTGGTACACGATTCTGCTGCATCTAAACGCTGGGTCAGGCGAAGTCGGAGGCAGTCTCTGCGACTCAACAGGTTGGTAGATCCAGGACCATCGATAACTACGATCTCCATAGAGAACAGTTCACTCTTGTGTATGGTGTCTGCAGTGAACTGACCCTTGATGGACAGAGGTGCACCAGATGGACCAAGGAGTTTGGTAGTGGATGGTGTGAGTACAGGGCGGCGTACGAGATTCTGATACGTGGAGTGCGTGATACACGATACATCTGCACCTGTGTCGATCTTGAATATCAAATTTGTCGAGCAAACAGGCAGACTTACTGACCAGGCGTCAGTAGACTGGGAAGGACTGGCGTTGGATGACAGCTCTGCAACACCACCCATGAATGGCGACGGGGACGCGAGCGATTCATCTTCGACAGCTCTGGCACCACGCGTGGTTGCTGGAGTGGAAAGACAGACGGCGGCGAAGTGGCCCTGCTTGCCGCATGAATTACACTTGCGACCAAACGCAGGACACGCAGAACGGTTACTCTTGTGCGAACCAGCGTGGCCACACCACGGACATGTTGAAGCTGCAGTGCCGCTCTTCCTCTGCGTGGACGGCGTTGGTGCAGGCTTCGATGGAACGCCGCTGCGCTGGTGGCGACTCCTTGCATCTTGCTGCTTTCCTCCAAAGCGGGATGCAGCATTGACCTGCGGCCTGGCGGCTTGCGCTGCAACGTCTCCGGAAATTTTCTCGGCCTGTCTGGCCCTGAGAACTGCGTCCGTGAGGGTGAGTTTTGCGGGCTCAATCAGCTGCAGCTCCTTGGCGACTTGACGATCCAGAATGTGAGCCACGAGGCGATCTCGAATTCTGTTGTCCTTCTGGTCACCAAAGTCACAGAACTTCGCTGCTGCGTGAAGTTTCCGAACAAATTCTTCCACGGACTCTCCTGGAAGATGGACGCACTGTTCGAAGATGGTCCTCTGGTGAAACACGTTCAATGCTGGCGTAAAGTAAGCGTCCAGCTTCGTCATGACCTTTTCATACTTGTCCTCGTCTCCAACGGTGTTGAATACCAGTTGATCGAAGACAGTTTCGGCCTCAGGGCCCAGCGAGTAGAGCAACGTAGAGATTTGCACTTTCTTGTCTTTCGCGTTGAGCTCTGAGGCGAGGCGATATCTCGCAAACCGGCGTTTCCAAGCCGGCCAGGCATCTGGAATGGAGAAATCAAAGTCTGCAGGCGGCGCGAATTTGGCCATTTCTACTCGAAGTGTAGACCTGGTTGACTAACTTCTGACACCATGTTGTGTCATGTACTGACATAAGGAAGTCCTTTATTTTACAGACAGATGAGTGTAGATATAGTGAAGAGTCAGGGAGGCCATGCCCAGCAGAGCATGGTATCGTGCGTAGCACGGGGGTAGTGAGAGGTCACGTACCGTCTATACATGGCGACAGACAGGGGAAGGACTATGCCATGAGTGGGTGAAAGGCTAACATGATACAGGATAGGACATAAACTATTCACAGCAGTGCCAAATTTTCTGGTTCACTGAATGTGGATGCCAGCGCCCTACAAGCAAACCAAAAATCAAATCAATGCGACCACTGACATTACAGTTGGGTCCTGTTATAGAGAGGTACATTGAAATTCAAAGGTAAGCTCAAATGGTCAAAATCCGACATTTTCTCACCTTTCTGCCCGTTCGCAGCTTAGAAAATGACAATGACCATCCGCATCTCCTTGTGCAGCTGGACATAGACAAGTGCACCAAGTAAAAATGCCACATTTCAATAAACAACTCGCCCGGTCTGCTGAAAGCTGAAACGAACCCATCTCTAAGTTTTGGCCCTTTTTGCCCGCGATTCTTCACTTTGCGACTAAACTATTCACAGCAGTGCCAAATTTTCGGCAACACTAATGCGGGTGCCAGCGGCCTACAAGCAAACCAAAAATCAAATCAATGCGACCACTCATATTACAGCTGGGTCATGTTATAGAGAGGTACGTTGAAAATGACACGCAGGCACAAATGGTCAAAAGCGACAATTGCTCACCTTTCTGCCCATTCAAAGCTCAAGAACTGACCATCGCCACCCTGATCTTGTTGTATAGCTGGACATAGGGAAGTGCACCAAGAAAAAATACCACATTTCAATATGAACACCTCGCCCAGGGCTGTTGAAAGCTGAAAAGAACCTATCTCCCAGTTTTGGGCATTTTTGCCCGTGATTCTTCACTTTGCGACTAAACTATTCACAGCAGTGCCAAATTTCCATATCAAATCAATGTGTCCACTCACATTACAGCTGGGTCATGTTAAAGAGAGGTACATAGAAAGCGATGCGAGGGCACAAATGGTCGAAAATGGACATCAAATCATTCCCTGCACTCACATAGCAGCTGGGCCGAGTTACACAAACGAGGAATGAAAATTGCGCCCGCGTGCAATTCTTTAAAAATGAGCAACTTCTCACCTTTCTGGCCATTCACGCCTCAAATGTTGACACTGACCACCATAGCTTTCTGGAATAGCTATGCAGAAGGTGGTGCACGAAAGAAATACGACGCATTTCCATAACCAACTTGCCCAGGGCTTTTGAAAGCTGAAAATATCGTATCTCCAAGTTTGAGGCTTTTTGTTCATGAATCCTGATCTGGTGCCTAACGGGGAAGTATTCCCTGAAATCAAATTCTCACCAGTTGCAGTCTTTGGGGTGCTGAGTCGAAAGGTCTTGGTCTGACGAAGCTGAGACGTTCCCTTACTCCTGTATTCTCAATCGAACTCGCGCGAAACTGGGTGACTGCACTCTGGTAGATGGGGATTTGTATGCAAAATGTCATTAAAAGCGCCGTTTCGTTCTTATAAAAGCACGGATGACCGCGATTGGTCCATGCGTTGTAGTCCTTTGGACGCTCAGTCGACTGGTTTTGGTCCGAAACGGCGGCGATGCAGCGTTCAGTCCTTTTTCCCAATCAAACACGGGTGAGTAAGCGGTCACGTGCTCATGCGTACACAAATCGCCTGGTCTCCGTGCCTGCAGGCTACAAAGGTTCAAAGGTTCAACCCGAGTGACAGGAACGCTGCTAAAGTTGTAGCCTGCAGGCACGGTGACCAGGTGAGTGGTGTACGCATGAGCACGTGACCGCCTACTTACCCATATTCGATTGGAAATTAGGGCCGAACGCTGCATCGCAGCCGTTTTGGACCAATACCAGTCGACTCAGCGTCCAAAAGACTACAATAATATGGACCAATCGCAGTCACCCATGCTTTTATAAGCACGAAATGGTGCTTTTAGTGACTTTTTGCTTACAAATCCCCATCTAGTAGGGCGCAGTCACCCAGTTTCGGTGGAAGTGCGCGAGTTTGATTGGAAATAGAGGAGAAAGGGAGCGTCTCAGCTTCCTCGGACCAAGACCATTCGACTCAGCACCCCAAAGACTATAACTGGTGAAATTTGCTTTAAGGGTATACCGTAAAATCCCGCCAGAGCGCGCCGTCTCTCCCATCCGCCCCTCCCTGACTTCTTGTCAGAGAAGTGATTGATTGTATCCTCGTATGACTCTGTGATCCCGTACTGTACTGCAGACATGTGCTCGACCCCGTTGGAAATGTACGCAACAGTACCCACTCTCTTGACCAGGGGTCGCAAAAACCCTGAGTTTCGACTGGTCTGTACGACTCTTGGCTCTTGACCTTTGGTCGGTGTACGAGATGCACGAACAGGTTTTGTAGGGTGAGTACTTTTTCATGTAGTACTGAATGCGGCAAGTAGGACTCGCCCATTCGCCCCTCCCCACCTAAACCTACTCGAAGCGTCGAGGAGGTAGGTTCGCTCTGGCGGGATTTTACGTACTTCTCCTTTAAACCAATTACAGCAGGGCCAAATGTCCTACGGCACTACCTTCGAGTGCCAACAGCCTACAAGCGAACCAAAATCAATTTTTTCCCTACACTCACAAAGAAGCTGAGCCCAGTTACACAAAGGAAGAATGAAAATTGCACCTGCGTGCAAGTCGTTAAAACTGAACAATTTCTCACCTATCTGGCCATCCATGGCTCCAACGCCGACACTGACCACCATATCGTCCTGGAATAGCTATGCAGAAGGTGGTGGACGAAAGAAAAGAGACAAATTTCCATAAGGTTGACAAGGGCTGTAGTTGTTCTGGTAAGAACTGTTTCAAGAGCGTGACACTTGAAACCTGCTTACAGCGCTCAACACGGGTCCCAGCGAATGCTGAGCGCTACATTTATGTAAGCGGAAAGGTAGACGTGCTGAGGAGACGTCGTGAGGCTACCCATCATGGAACAGTGGCCCAGCGAGCTGAGAGATGTGATAGATCACGCTAAACATACTACTCTGGAGTCAGTCGCTGGTTTGGAAGCCATGTACCTGTATGTCAGGAAGCCTTTGTGTACCAAGCCCTTGGTGCCAAAATCTGCGCAGGCTGATGTCAGTGTAAGTGCTAAGTAAAGTAAATTATTGTCCGTTCCCGAAGGGAACTCACGACGGCCGCTAACACCCGGCAAACCCTAGCGGCAGATGCAGCGCCTAACGGTGGGGGTGAGTGGATACGTCTCACAACCACTGGCACAAAGTGCCGAGAAACCCGAGGCAGGCACGGTGTAAGTGATATCAGCCCAACTAAACAGAGGACGGGAATGAACTCTTCCATGGAGTGTCACGATGTACTGCCTGCGGGAGGTGTTGTGGAGCTGAAGCATTTTATAGAGCATCATGCTACAATTCATGGCCTCCCTTAACCTGCACCTCCACATGGGCACAACAAGCCAGTATCAACCTGCATGCATTTGCCCTGCATCGCTACGAAGAAGCTTGTTCACCAGGAGTACACAAAGCCTGGTGGTAAAGCTGCATATAGTACGTTTGGCAAGATTTGGAAAAGAGACTGCCAAAATATCATTATCATGAAACCTTAGAAGGATGTGTGCGGCCGATGCATAATCACTAGGCGTTCTAACTGCAAGAGCCTAATACCTCTTCCAGCAGACGAGCACTACCATCCACAGAAGGGATAAAACGTGTCTAGCTCCACAACTGGAAGATTCAATGCCATCGTTAACTTTTCCTTTTGAAGAATACGACATACAGGTTTATTCTTCAAACATTGGTTGCGATCATGCCACTGGAATTCTTACAGCATTTGTTCCAAAATGTAGCACAAAATCCAGGATTTTGCTACATTTCCTCAAACATTTGCAGGACAATTACAAAGAAATCGTCATTGCATCTGCCATTCTACCTGAATATGAATGCAATCCACCTGAAACTTGTCCAGGAGTTGAAGAAAGGGTCATGGTTCAACACTCCAGCAAAATCTCAATTTCGCCAACAGTTGTTTTTTGCAGAGCACTGGTCACATGTACTATAGTACTGTATGAGTTACAAATCACTAACGTCCAGCATAGTCACAATGCAGCGTCTGACATCATGCCCTTCAGAATACGGTTCGTCACTCTTCATTGGCGTTATCGGTATGGGTGTGGGAAGTGCAAACTACCAGATTGAATCTGATTCACTTACAGTTCATAGAACCATAATTCCCTCTTGCAAGTAAATGTATATCCATCGTCCTAGCTGCTCAATGAGCCTGCATGTCCCTGCGTCGTGCGCTAGGGGCTAGCTAGCGTGCCATTTCAACACCCGTCGTGGACGTAGCTATGTCGGCAGCATTGTGGTTCACAACCGAGGCTGTCACAAAACTCTAAACTGCTTTCAGTGTTTTTACCCGGCTTCTGAAGGGAATGTTTTATTCCAAACACGTTTTAGTGAATGCAGCAAATGGGCCTGGGATTCGCTCTCCGTGAAGATTACCATCATCGATTCAGACATCATGACTGCATCAGATCAACAGCTCGTGGACGATCTTTTTGGCGACGACTGTAGTAGTTACTCACTGTACAACTACAAGTACAATGATGACTGTATGATTGTGTGTAATGTATGTGTGACCATACATACAATCATACATGCAGAGCCTAGCCTATGCAAATGCGAACATCGGCGCATGTGCGTTGCACAGCTTCCCGCCTTTCTCGGATCGGGGTGCATGCATGCATGATGCAGCACATGCAAATGCGAACATCGACGCACAGTCAGTACAGGCTACAGCAGTGTGCGTTGCACAGCTTCCCGCAAGTCTCGGATCGGGCCGGCCGGCCGGGGTGCATGCATGCAGTACATGTACGGACTCAGGCCTGTCGAGGGGATCTTCTGCAAGAAGAATGAAATGACAACTTTATGTAGAGGGCCAGGGAGCGAGGATAGGCTAAAGAAAATAGATCGAGGCATACAAAATCTGGTACCCGGTCAGTGTAATGAATATATCGGCGAAAATGCTGATAGAGAGAATGCTTGAATTCGGGGAGGCTGGTTATAGAGGTAAGACTAAGAGAAGGCCGGGTAGGCATTGCAGCTTTGTTGGAAAAGAGGGAAGAAAAACGCACACCGTGAATAATCATTGACATTGTACACCTACATGTACATGTAGGTGTACTACTACTACTGCAACTATACATGATTGTACTTTCACGCTTGCCACGTGATCGTTGCCACGGTTTGACCCAATCAGAGCGGTCACAGGCTGGGCATGAACCTCTGATCATGCCCTGCCAGCCACGTCTACTACCATGCACCGCGCTGTACGCCCCATCACGTGATCATTCATGCCCTCCTACCATGAATGAATGAATTCACACATGCCATGGGTATATTCGACATACATGCCGTGCCATTCAGGCCCTTGACCAATCAGCACGTCCCGAGAGCGTGTGGAGGTGAAACTGAGCACGATCGACGGGATTAAGGTATAAAAGGAAGGTACTCCTGGGGGTGGGGGTGGAGGTCGGGGACGTGGAGGACTCAGCTTGTGAGCTTCAGGTCCGTACTCTCTCTCGTCGACGGTCGAGGGCCTGAATCAACAAAGCCCGAGAGAGTACGGACCTGAAACTTCACCTTCCTTGAGATGACCTGAATCAACAAAAGATGAAACTTCAGCTTGTGAGCAGCTTGTGAGCTTCAGGTCCGTACTCTCTCTCGTCGACGGTCGAGGGCCTGAATCAACAAAGCCCGAGAGAGTACGGACCTGAAACTTCACCTTCCTTGAGATGACCTGAATCAACAAAAGATGAAACTTCAGCTTGTGAGCAGCTTGTGAGCTTCAGGTCCGTACTCTCTCTCGTCGACGGTCGAGGGCCTGAATCAACAAAGCCCGAGAGAGTACGGACCTGAAACTTCACCTTCCTTGAGATGACCTGAATCAACAAAAGATGAAACTTCAGCTTGTGAGCAGCTTGTGAGCTTCAGGTCCGTACTCTCTCTCGTCGACGGTCGAGGGCCTGAATCAACAAAGCCCGAGAGAGTACGGACCTGAAACTTCACCTTCCTTGAGATGACCTGAATCAACAAAAGATGAAACTTCAGCTTGTGAGCAGCTTGTGAGCTTCAGGTCCGTACTCTCTCTCGTCGACGGTCGAGGGCCTGAATCAACAAAGCCCGAGAGAGTAGTACGGACCTGAAACTTCACCTTCCTTGAGATGACCTGAATCAACAAAAGATGAAACTTCAGCTTGTGAGCAGCTTGTGAGCTTCAGGTCCGTACTCTCTCTCGTCGACGGTCGAGGGCCTGAATCAACAAAGCCCGAGAGAGTACGGACCTGAAACTTCACCTTCCTTGAGATGACCTGAATCAACAAAAGATGAAACTTCAGCTTGTGAGCAGCTTGTGAGCTTCAGGTCCGTACTCTCTCTCGTCGACGGTCGAGGGCCTGAATCAACAAAGCCCGAGAGAGTACGGACCTGAAACTTCACCTTCCTTGAGATGACCTGAATCAACAAAAGATGAAATTTCACCTTGGTCGACATGAAACTTCAGAACTGAGAGCCGAGAGCGCACGGAGCTGGAACTTCAGGACCTGAAACTTCAGGACCTGAAACTTTGTGAGCTGAAACTTCAGAACGAAACTTCAGAACGAAATTTCAGCCGTACCGTGCGCGCGGTCGAGGGCTTGCCCGAGAGCGCACGGAGCTTACTTCAGAACGAAACTTCAGCCGTGCCCTCGACGGCTTGCCCGTGAGCGCACGGACGTGGAACTTCAGCTTGTGAGTTTCTGCCATTGTTGTGCAACGAATGCCATAAAGGACTTGAGAACTTGGGAAGGCAGGCACTCGGTGTTTCTACTGAAATTCTAGTTGATGTATTTCAAGTTCGATTTATGTAGATTAGTGCAGTACAGTGGCTTTGTTTGCGCTGCTAGCATGCTGCGGGTGCGCTTGCACGTTCTGCTGAGGAGAGCTTGTGGCTTTCGCTTGTGCTGTCCTGCGTGGGTGGCAGTGTCAATCAGACATGGATGTCGGGGCAGGTATCGTTGATTCCGGCCCTCGAGCGGCCCGCGGCCTTCGGCCTTGGGCCGCTCTCGGGCCTGAATCAACGATACTGCCCTGACATCCATGTCTCAGTCTGATTCTATACTTTAGACAGTAGATCTACTACCGAGTACCGTAGAATCCCGCGGATAAGCCCATGGGCTTGCCTGTTTCACAAGGACATTTCGGTGGGCTTATAGTTATACACGGGCATGGGCTTATACCATGTATACGCTGACACCAACATTGAGGGCTTGAAAGTGCTACGTCACAGCATAGCAACAATTTCAAAAATTCAAAACTGGATCCACTTGGATCCAGTTTTTGTATGGATCCAAGGACATTTCAAGCGGTCTTACCCACAGCATGGTGATGTAGCCAGTGAAACTGACTGATTTGGCTACTGGGGGCGGGGTTACAACTGGTGGCGAAATAAAAGTCACACCTGCATGCGACATGAGTGGGTTGCTATGCACCCACATACTTAGGCAATAGCAAAGTCACACCTTTAGTGGATCCAAAAATAGAAATCTGATGTCAACTTACTACTCCCTGGCCGTTTTGACGTCATCACTTTCAAACACTGATTAAAAGCACCAAGGAAGTGAGAAGTACATTGCTGAAAGCCACTGTCTGTGCAAACAAAAACAACCGATGATTGTGTTGAAATGTACAAAAAATAAATTTAAAAAACCCTGAAACACTCGTACTACGTACATGTACATCATATACATGTATGTACATGGTACGACCAAGAGTCCATAACTCATGGTACAATTTAGGCCCATGGGCTTGTACGACGAAGCCTTGTGATGTTCGAACTTTCCCTGGGCTTATGCACGGGATTCTACGGTAGTCTAAGTATCCTTACCATCCTTTCCCTCAACTGCCGCTCAGTGGTCAACAAAGTAGCGGAACTCACTGTTATGTGCAACATCTACTCTCCGGAGGTTATATGTTTGTGTTAAACATGGTTGTCCCCTGCCAACCTCTTCTCATTGGCAGGCTACACAGTTCATCGACGGGATCGTCCCACCTGTAATATTCAATCAGCCAATCCTACCAGAGGTTATGGTGGGGTAGCCATACTGGTGAAAGATGGCTCATTTACATCGGTGAAGCCTCTGGCGAATCTTCAGCAACCGGGTTTGGAGGCCATCTGGCTTGAGCTTCGCACAGCCAACTCACCCCAACGTCCACTCATAGTCTGCGCCACCTACCGACCTCCTGGTGGTACCCTGGCGGATATCCAGGCCTATTCTGATGGTCTGGAAGACTGCCTTCTGTCCCTTAATCTATCTGAATCCACACTACTCCTCACCGGTGACTTCAATGCCCATAACTCGAGCTGGTTGGCTGGTGATCGGACAACCCCGGTGGGTCAGTGCCTTGAAACTGCCTTCAGGTGCTTCGGATTAGAGCAACTGGTCAACTTCCCTACGCACTGGAGCCCAAGTGGCCGGTCATCTTGCTTGGACCTCATCGTCACAAATTCACCCCAACAGTTCCTCTCCGTTGATTCAGCCGCTCCACTGGGTAGCTCTGACCACGTGCAGCTCATCTGTCGAGTCCGTCTCCCTGCCACGTCCAAAAATCCAACCCTACACCATCACTTCCTCCCAACATCTACCCCTACACCCCAAGGTTACAATTTCAAGTTGGTGCCACGTTGCGTATGGGATGACCTGAATGCTGAACTTGCTGATGTCCACTGGAAATGTCACCTCCGCAGCTCGCACGTGGATGACGCTCTTTCGTCTTTCCACTCTATTCTTAGCAGGGCCATGGAGAAGCACCTCGGGTACTTCTCCCGGCGTCCACTCTCCCCCTCATGCCGACGTTTAGGTCAGCCACCTTGGGTTGATGCCCCCCTCCGTGCCGCCATTAAGGCAAAGCACGATTTCTACAGTGTGTGTAAGAAATACCCAACCCAGCTTAACATGCATGTATATCGATCTCAACGGAACTTGGTGAAGAGTCTGACTCGATCGAAATACCGGGGATACATTCGGTCCGTACAAGCTACGCTGCAGGACAAAAACCGCCCATCACTGTTTCAGTTCGTGAACAAATTAAAAAATCATAAAGTATCTCGTGACATCCCGACACTCACCATTAGTTCTACGCAGCAGGCTATTACCTCTTCAGCTGAAGCCACTGCATTGAACTCTCAGTTCGCCTCAGTGGCCGTGCCTGATGACCCTTCTCTACCCATTCCCCCCATTGACGAGGAGTCGGGTGAGGTTGACCGCCTCACATCTCACGGTCTTTACTACGACTGCTGCCATCCGACGTTACATTCGAAAGCTCCCGTCTGACAAGGCTCCGGGCCCAGACGGCATCACTAATCTGGTATTAAAGTCCCTTGCGCCCTCAATAGCATACCCCTTATGTCTGATTTTCAACCTATCATTCCGCACTGGTCGTTTTCCCTCTGCATGGAAAACAGCTAATGTTATACCGATCTACAAGAAAGGGTCCCGCCACGAAGCATCAAACTACCGTCCGATATCTCTACTGTCCTGTGTTTCCAAACTCTGTGAGCGCGTTTTCTACGACCAATTGTACTGTCATGTCTCATCACGTTTGAGTTCAGCTCAGTCCGGATTTCGCAGAGGCGATTCTACCACCCTCCAGCTGACGCGCCTGGTGCAATTAGTGTGTCGACATCGGGATGCTGGAGATCTAGTCGGGATTTGTTTTTTCGATCTTGCCAAGGCCTTCGATACCGTCTGGCACCGGGGGCTTTTGGCCAAGCTTCGTGGATCATTTACTGTAGACGGCAATCCCCTGCTATGGCTGACATCTTACCTAACTGGGCGAACGCAGTACGTCACGGTACATGGGACGTCCTCGGCCGACACAACAGTACTATCCGGAGTTCCCCAGGGTTCCATCCTCGGCCCCCTTCTTTTTATTTTATACGTCAATGATCTGCCCGCAGCTGCCCCGGGCACATCACTGTTCGCAGACGACACAACGCTCCTAGGGGCATCTCCTAACATCACTGGCCTGATGAGTAACCTAGCTAACGGGATTCAAAGAGTAATTTCCTGGATGTCGTCTTGGCGGTTATCGCCCAATCTGTCTAAAACTAAAATCATGCTCTTTCCTTCTCAGCCCGATGTTCCGCCCCTCCTCCATCCCACTTTCCACCAGCCTATAGACATAGTCTCCAGCCATAAGCATCTTGGCATTTTCATTGACTCTAATCTTTCATGGGAACCCCACATCGATTACATATGTAAACGATCAAGTTCATCTTTAGGAATTCTCTCTTCTCACTGTTACCATCTCCCAATCTCTTGTAAACTCCTCTTTTCTGTCCCTCCAGGAACTTGCGATTCCGCGGCCGCGTTGTTTTCCGCGATTTGAACAAAAGTCCGTGATATCCGCGATATTTGAAAAATCATCCGCGTTATTGTAGAAAACTGTCCTTGATACTTGAAAAGCACCGCGATATTTCGAAAAGCAACCGCGATATTTGGGTCTTTCTTCGATGTTGTTTAGTTCTTCAAGCTCATCAGTAGTTTACTTGTGAGATCGACACCAGAATGTCGAAGTTTCTGGGCAAATCAGCGGCTGACAAGTCACAAAATAAGGCTCGCGTCGAGTGTTGTCCGAGGATGGAGGAAAGCTGTCTTGCAGTTGAACACAGTCAGCGCAGCACACGTACGTTCTGTTTTGTCATGCATGATTTATGCTGTACGACCCGTACATCGTACAGCACTACAGTACAAGTACCAAAATCGGCCGCAATTTCCGCATTTTTACCACAATAATCCCGCAATATTTGACAAAATCCGCAATATTCCCCGCAATTTGTGGCATTTTACCTCGCAACTTTTTCCGCGATATTTCCGAAATGTCTCCGCAAGTTTCTGGAGGGACAGTCTTTTACTCAGCTTACCTACGCCCCATTTTTGATTATGCAGATACTGCTTGGGCTGGAATTTCCACAACCCGTGCTGCCAAGCTCGAAATTCAACACAAAAAAAGTTCTCAAAATCCTCCTCCGAAAACCCCGCATGCTTCCATTTTCCACCCTTTATACCCTTGCTGGCACTTCCCCTTTGTCTAAGAGACGTAATTCACATCTTGTCACCCTTAAGTTATCCATTCTCTCAAACTCAATCTGTGTCCCCCTCACCTCCACTGTTTCAACTGGTTCTCTTCCCGTAGCACGAGAAACTCCCTTTCCATTCCGAAACCTAAGTCCTCCTTTCTACTTCACTCTCCCTTTTTTATTGCGTACTCTGCGTGGCTGGCACTTCCCCAAGAAGCTAAGGACCTTTCTTCCCTCCGCCTTTTTAAGAGCCTTGTCACGCCTTGACTTTGATTTTGTGTTTCTGATTAAATTTTGGTTGCAATCACTGCTTATCCATGCCGGTTCCTTTTTCTTCTCCTCCCCTTCTCCCTGCCTTGCCGTGGTTGGCTAACACCCTCTCTCTTTGTATTGGCCGGTGTTCTCACTGTGCTATGAGATGCTGTAATAAATAAATAAATAATAAATAAATAAATAAGTAGACCTATTACAGGGTGCAACAGAGCTCTCGGTTGAGTCACCTCCACCATTAAACTGCGCTCTTTAGCCGACTAGACCCTCCTGCACACAACCATCACCATTGCGAGGACACTTCCGTAGACGATATTGATAAACTCCTTCAGACAGCTGTTTCGCTAATACATAGCTCATCAGTGAAGGTAGATGTTGAATGATAAAAAATATAGACCAAACTGCTATTATATAGGGGGTTATCAAAGTAACTGTTATATTGAAGGAACACTACACATTTTCAGCATCCATTACTGGCGATCCTCACCTCCCAGGGCCCTGGTCATAGGGGTCCACACTTGTAAGGGAACAGTAAAAGGCCACGATTAGTCTACACAGCTTACCTTGAAACACACTTCATGTTTGGCATTAAGTGGTCTTTGTAAAAACAAAAAAAACAAAAACAAAAACACACACACACACACAGCAACAGGATGGCATACAGCAACGATTAACAGCAGGATGATAAGACTACATGTAGCATACACGCGCCCGTGAATTCACATACACTCTCACGCTACAAGACACGGTGACATTACAAGTGCATGGGCATATAAAATTATAATTATAGCAAATGCATACATGAAACATTTCATGTGCTACTGTATTTCGTGTACATACGCTCGTAGCAAAGAGTTATGATGCGAGCATCAATGGAAGCACTATCATAGTGCTTTCATTGTTGCTAGCCTCTTGTATAACTAAAGAAGAGTCTGTCGACCAGCACACAACACCCCAGCAAGCATCCAAGCACACTGTCACTGACAGCCCAAGTCTGGCGGTCTTGTACTCATCTGCTGAGTGCTAAATATCACAGATCAGAAACCAGTAATTTTCAGTTTCTTGAGCACAGAAGCCATCAGCAGAGAGTATGGTGACACACAAACCCTACCGGGCCACAGCCATCCTAACCCCGGCTGCCTCTGACCAATGACACCACACCCAGCAGCCTCAAACAAGAAAACCAGGGTGACAAGGTGATCACATACGGTACACCACTTCTTCTCAAGGCACAACTAAAAAGCATAGAATAACGTTAGTACTAAAATGATTAAAATCACATGGAACTTGCCTCCGGGGGGGGGGGGGGGGCATCGAGCATAAAAATTAAAAAATAGTACACACGTAAAAGGAATCGTTTTTGGTAAAAACGTGTGCAAATCTCTACAGTACAAAAAAGCAATCAGGTTCTAAGAAAATTATTTCCAGCTTTGTCAACATAGAACGATGGGACTAGTTTATAAATGACAGATTGTTTCATTGGCTGTTGTTCATATAACTGCGACATGATTGCATGGCATTCTAGTATTTTCTATAATGAAACAAAAGTGTATTTTCTTCACTTCACCTACAAAGTGTAGTGTTAGAGAATGGCCCTGTAGCAAGTGGCCATGGGAAACATTGCAACAGAACGTTGCACCATTCGAAGGCAATTTTGTTGCCTGATGATTGCACGCTGCAGGAGATGCAGTCGATCTTGCGAGATGGACAGCCGTGCATAGGGTCAGTCAGCTGCATAGAGCCGCGCAGAGACATGGCACTATGAGGCACAGCCATGCAAGCGAGCTTTGTACGGATCAGCCATGCACTCACTCATTGCCAGCCGCAATCCGCATCCAACGCGCACAAAGCAACAGTTCTTGACAAGAGAAGACTAGGAAGGTTGTCAGGAGGAACTCTACCGTTTCTTCGGCAATGTCAGTGATGAAATTGTGGATAGCATGGCTTTGTCAGACATGTACTGTTCGACTTCCGAGTCAGAAAACTGCAACACAATCTGCATGCGGACAGAAAAAAAAGGCAACAGCCCTAGTATGGACGACTTCACAATGATATTGTACGCGTCGTGTTTGTTTGTTTGTGTTTATTTTACTTCCCCAGATACACAGGCAATGCTGATTTACTACTTCACCGCATGAACACCACACAACAGAGTGCAATAAAAACAAAGTGCAGTAAGTCAGATGACTTCTCCTCCACCCTCAAGGACAAAGCACAGACACAGCGCCTGAACACATGCCATGGAAAGCAGTATGCGACTACTGCAGTTGCTGCTTACCTTGCTCAGTCGTGGGTTCTTCTGGTTACGCTTGGTAACGACCAGGCCCTGGTTGTCCAAGCTTTCACTGAGCGAGAGAACATCGTCCTCGCACTCCATTGACCGTTGCTTGCATACAAAGCGAAACGCATCCTCCAGCTACAGCAATGAACGCAAGCAACAAGAAAACCCAATACGAACAAATCAGCCGCCAAAATGTGCGTCACGGGGACCAAGACAACAGTTACCACATTTCCTTTTTCGACATGGAAAACTAAGTACTAGTACACTCATATCTGTGCTTACTGTAAAAGCCATTATTCTAACGGGGCGCATAACAATTTCCCAAAATTGACTGGTTTACGTGTACCAAAGGTAACGATTCTCACTCATTCTCAACACTCAATACGACAGTATATGTATCAATTTCTATATAACGATTTCTATTTTAATGACAGATTTCTCCTCGTTAACTCGTTAGAATTAGCACTTCGTTATATTATATGGCTTTTACAGTATCCGGGCGGTCCGGGACCGTTTAATGCCCCCGTAAATTTGAAATGTCCTAAACTCCGAATCACATACAGTTTGATCAAGAAAGGTCATAGATATGGCATATGGTGTCACTATTTCTACTAAAAGCGACAAAAGAGTAGTGAAACTGGTCCAAAGGGTGCCTGGTAGACCGAATAACCGAAGTATGAGTGTATTCCCAAAAGGCGGGTATGTTTACCTGTGAAACAGTGACAACGCTGTTCTTGGACTTCTTCAGCAGCAGCATGGTGCACAGCAGAACTTTCTGCTTGAGTGGCACAGCGTTGTCTTCGGGCGCATCTGCCGCCGGCGCAGAGCTGGTACTAGTACTGCCACTTGTCGAGCCACTTGTGCTCTTCAGTCTGGCACCGTACAGCTGACAGAGTACACGAGACACCTGGCCGACCGTCACACGGCGTGGCGTGGCGGGTAACTCGCCCACCAAACCCCCCGCGCCCTGGAAGAACATCTTGCCTTGCTTTGTGGCACTTCCGGGCGATCCTGCAACACACAGCAGTAGCATAATAACGTTGACAGCGCTGTGATAGCATGTAACACACAATGCAGGAGTCAATGGACGGCTGCTAACTGGTGTGGTTACGGTTAAACAAGTCTTAAAAGTTAATGAGATTACGGCAGCGTGACAAGGCATGACAACGGTGTGGTCCTCCGCTGACGTGTTACAACGCTATGAGGACAGATGGTGAAGTCGGCCTGAAGGCCGTAGAAGACACGTTTGCCAAATCACTTTCTTTTCTCCTTTTTTCTACTTGGTCCGCGTCAGCGATATTGTCGCTTATCTTTCAGCTTTGTTTATATGTCGCCAATGCTCACTTGGCAGCCCATTTCATCCCAATTTTGGTTAGTAAGTTAGTTTACTAGTACCTGAAAGGTCTAGCTAGAGTTCGAGTGGATTTCGAGAGCGACGGGTGGGTGATTCTGATTGATGCAGCGCCGCACCAAAATAGATTATCTTGTTGCGCTGTGCAGGCAAGAGCAGCGCAAGCCACAGGAAAGTAATCGGCTACTCAGAATCAGCTCCATTTTGCTGAACGGCCGAGATCGCTCACCTCAGGGAATCGCCCATCAAGCAGAGATCGCAGCTCCCTTACCTCCAGCTCAACGATCGGAGTATCCAGCGCGTCGTGGAGATTTGCAAGTACTGTACGCGTCGTCGTTCAAAATAAAATCTTGCAAAGAACGGTGTCTGATTTGAACCACACAGGCTGTCGTGCTGCCCACGCGAAGTCCTATAGAGAAGGCGACCAGCACGATCGACTTCTCTTTAGAAAATAGCCAGGCAGCAGAGAGGGAGAGAGATGAGCTTGCAAAAGCAAGAGAGTCGATCCCGAGCAAAAATATTTGTCACCAGCGCCGAGAGCAGCGACGAGGAGGACCGAAAAAAGTATGAACCCTTCCTTGGACAATAAATTCCTCATAGCTAGTTGTCATTCTATACCTTACTGTCCATCGTACCAAGTTTTATCACTTCAAGTGCACGCATTGATGTCCAAAGTCTAAGTTCAAATTGTCGAAAGATAAGCGACAATATTGCTGATGCGGACCAAGTAGGAAAACCCCAGCTTTGTATTTTGCAATTTTCGGTGGAGTGCTTAGTCCCAGTGACATTTTCCTTCTTTCTTTACAATCCAAACCGAGTTGGTTTGTGTTCCCGAAAGTTTCAATGCAATACTGCAAGAGATTATAAAGATATAGTAGAAAATGTGTAACCACCCAGCAATGTTCGTAAAAACTAGGGGTGGAAAAGTGGCTGAAGTTGACAAAACGGATATGGGGACCACACTTTTTTTTATTTCAGAATTTGAAACCTAAGGTAACTAAGACTCCAAAAGATCTGTTCACATCAAAATATTACGACTGAAATTTGGCCTAAACTGTCCCCAACCTCCTTAACCCTTTGAGACCCCACTGAAAGTACGACAATTTACTCGCCTTCAAATAACATGCACTTTCGCTCGTATCTCTACCAAACATTCACCGATTTTTACAAACTAACCACCGTTGGAAAGCTATTTCCAAGACGAAGCGACTAGTACCACACTCAAGCCAGCTACGTGCACAGCCTCTGCTCTGCGTGGCCAATAATGCTGCCAAAAACAGCAGTCGCGTGCGAACAGCTTCAGCAAAGTTAAAACAGCCGCCATTCCATTCTCCTTCATCACATCGACTTCAAACAAACTACAGCGGAAAGCTCGTTTCAAGCGCAAGATTTTAGTGTGCGGTGCTTGAGTATGACGTACCATTCAGGGGAAATCCCCTGCCAAGAGCAGCGTGAAAATTTGAATTTTTCGATCTGAGTGCATTTTTCAGGTTGTCTCCGACTTCGAGTCTCCCCACGGCGGCATCGTAACTCCTAGAGACTTCGGATAACTTCGACGTGATAGCCAAAGTTCTTCTCGAAGCGTAGATACTTTGTTTATGAAAATCGGTGAAGGAACGCCATAGATATAATTATTTTAGTGTCACTGCATACCACGTTGGGGTCTCAAAGGGTTAACCTATAAACCTGAAAAGTCATGATTCCCTAGAAAAACATGTGCAGCAGAGTACACTTCCCCTCATGAGCATATCCAGTGCTGCCAAACCGTCCGATTTTTGAAGGCTCTTCCGAAAACCGGTCCGAAAAAGGAAACGTCCGAAAAGCAGCCAAAAATGCCAGGGATCAGTACTTTCCTATGCAAAAGTCCTGTATTTCCACTTTTCAGCGCAAGCGAAGGCACAAAATTAATCACTGTACATGACTTTGCCACTTTGTGCTTCTAAACAGGTAAGCTACATGTAGTCGTCAGTGTAACATACAATGGATGGCATGTACACTGTACAGTGTGTGACCTCACTCATGCATTACAAAATTCATGACAACTTCGGGGTGCCATATCGGTTACCATGGCAACAAAGTGAATTTTCATGGTATTTTCGGCAATTTTGGAATACGCAGGAAAAATTTGCTGAGAAGAAAAATTCGCACCCTGCACATGTGGCCAGCATCGGCGGTGAAGGGTGTCCGATTTTGGGCGAAAAATTATTTGGCAGCACTGCATATCACTCACCGACTTTCTAACCCATTTCATATTATACACTCACACAATCTTTCCAGCACAAAAAAGATACACAAACACAGATAGTGTACACTTACAGACAGACAGAGACAGACTGAGAGACAGAGAGACACGAACACTCAGATACAAGTGCAAGTGGCATGCACACACACACACACACACCTGTAAGACTTGACTTGCGATTTCGGCCACCAGGAGTTGTTGGTGTGGAGATTTGCTCCACGGCATGCCTGCATGAGAGGTAGCACACCAGAGTGAAGGACCGGTCAATATTATTACACTGAGCATTTCAGGACCTACTCTTCACGGTCATTACTGATGTGAAGAGGAAGGAAGCATTCTGACGTGACAATGGCATCTTCACAGAGACAAAATATCGACGCAATTTAGTTGCGACGATCACCCCTATTGGGCCCTAACGCCAATTTGCCATACAAAAACAGCGAGTATTCAATTGGGAAAGTAGCAACTGCCGTTTGCACATAGTCACATTCAGTCAACCCATTCTGTTTGTGGTCCTCTCTTCAGGCAAATGAAACACAAGAGTGCCATGCTGGCTAAAACGAAGACGCGTTATAGCCAGAGTACTCCCTGCAAAAGTCATGAAGCTGCTAACACGCAGATAAAACAATGTACATGGGTGGGATAGTGTGTGTGTGTGTGTGTGTGTGTGTGTGTGTGTGTGTGTGTGTGTGTGTGTGTGTGTGTGTGTGTGTGTGTATAGAACGCGGCACAAGTGCACCACTCAGAGACGGCTTCCCATCCAGCTCCAGCGTGGATCAGTGCAATGCCAGAACTGCCAGAGGTGGTTCCGCAGCAAGGGTGGCTACTCTGTTCATCGATGCCAGCCTGTCACGAGTTCTCCTACACCAACAGTCAGTCTGTCTGTGCCACTTTCAGCTTGTTGCCAGCAGCACTGCCCAACATGTCAGCGATGCTTCCGTTCTGCGGCCGGGTTCAAGCGTCACAACTGCAATCGTGGTGCGAGACCATCTGCTGCTGAGAGAGCAGCTCTGCCCCTCAGCTGCCCATATTGTAAACGCAATTTCCGCCGGCAGCAGGACCTAGCCAGACATTCGCGGTCCTGCTTGTGATCCGTGTCCCGTTTTCTGGTCCCCTTTCCATAGGGGTGACACTTGCCCCTCTGGGCAGTCATGCTGCTAGTAGTAGTAGTAGTAGTAGTGTGTGTGTGTGTGTGTGTGCGTGTGTGTGTGTGTGTGTGTGTGTGTGTGTGCCTATTGGGAGCATCACCTCCCGGTAAGACCAGACCGTGAAACGTCAGACACAAGAACTGCACACACACACACACACACACACACACACACACACACACACACACACACACACACACACACACACACACACACACACACATATCGCTACATGTATCGGCAGGGCAGACCCTGAACTCACCGACACACGTCCAGTGCCTTGCGAACGTCACCTGTCACGGCTGCGATACGACGCGCACAGAGCTCTATTGCTTCCGCCGACATGGTGACATCACCAGCACATGCTGCTTCAACGCGAGATTTTAGAATGGTAGCTAACTGCTTGGACGTGTACGGTGCGAAGTATAACTGCTCCGGTTCGCCTGAGTAGACACAGGAAAACAATAAGAACTCAAAAGTGAGGTAAACAAGAAGCGCAAGGAACACATGTAGCATTTTCTTGCAATGCATCGGCTTATTCAACAGAGCCTCCATTAGCAGACGCAAGTCAAGCAAGGACAGCACCGTATTCAGGGCGCACATGTTCAGTCCCAAGTGCTGCATGACAGACACATGACGCATGGCATGGCTGCGTGTTCATTCCCAAGTGCTGCATGCAGCACGCCGGATGGCATGATCAACTGACGCTAGCAGAACTGGTGCATACACACTATACATTACTGTCCGAAGAAAGAACAGACTGGAATTTCACCAAGCACAGCATGTCGTTATATACGCGGTGACTACACTGCACATAGACTGTTGCACATGAAAATAAAACGGCCTACGCTACGAGGCTGACCCCCAGTTCTTCGGCACCTGATACGACTGTAGCCCTGTTAGTTTGAAGGCACTTACAGCCTTTCAGCTGGAGTCGCTTCAGTTCATTGCTGGTGAATGAGAGTGTATTTGCAATGGCCAGGAGTACAAGCTTGCTGGTCGGTCGTAGCGCCCACTCAAAGATCTGATACAGGACACCGCTGTCCTTGGTCGCTAGCTGATCAATCTCATCCAGCACCAGCACACTGCAGAGTGGTCAATACACAACAGATAGCATAAACAACACACAACAGTTAGCATAGACAACACACCAGTCACTATACAACATTAGAGCGCACATAACATGCAGCAGTGAACACGAACAGCAGACAATAGGACACACTGTCAAGGCACGTTGGGCCGCTACAGCCCCTGTCATACCGCAGTGTCTTATATCAAAGCCTATCTCGTACACAAGCCTGATTTTCAAGATGCACTGGTGGCACATAAGCCTGGTTTTAGTGCTGGCATACATAGAGTAGGGATATCAGCGAACACACTGCGCACTGGGTTTACGCAGTAATGACATCATCGAAATTTGTACAGGGCTGAATACCGCGTGCCGGACCAAAGTCAAACTGAAGGAAATCATTATTTTTGCCGGGAAAACTTCAAGGAGTCTTGTCGAAGAAGAAGGCGAATGGCAGCTGGGGCGGAGGAGACTTCATGCTCACGCCCCGTAGTACAGTGATTTTCCGCAACTTTGCAGGAGGCCGAGAAATGCTTGGGTCTAGCTGAACCCATTTGTGGGTGTAGCTTCGCGATCAACCGGAGAGCAGTGCCACGGTGACATTTGATACGTAAATTCGGAAGCTGTCCTTCGTGAGCCTATGTGACGGAAGCAACTGGAAGGCGAAGTTAGTATTGTTTCGACGGGAGAAATTTTTTCATTCTTGGTCCACGGTTGCATCTTGTATGAGTCTAACCGTATGCCAGGTAAGAAAAAAATTGACGGGAGTGAATTTAGTTCGCAAAGGTCAAAAGTTCGCCGAGGTCAACCTGGAAGGAAGATGAAGAAGCTAAGAGTGGAACAAAGACTATCGTGGTCTTTCTCTATCGTTGTGGCGTTGACACTCGTTCAGCTCTGCAGGCCATCATTAGGTAAGCCCTATCGCCCGGAAAGCATGCCTAAAGTGAATTATGTTGCAGTCAGGCGCCATGAGAAGCGCGCTGTAGGTGGCTTATTCGCCGCAATATGCTGTAATAAGTACCACAAGCAATGGCGTAGTGAGGATTGTAGTACACTGCAAATCTGCCCTGCAAAGCTCCTGCAGGTTTTCAGGAAAATACCAGGTAAGAGAAGGGCGAGCATATCTTCCAGATGTAAAGTAGAATACACAGCCAGAGTACGCCATCAACCTTTGAACGACTGTGCCGTTGCAGGTGCAGGTCAGGGCAAGAAGATATGCCAAGACTGCTTGCGAACAGCACCGGCACACAAGGACCTAACGCAATTCCTACCAGATGGATTCCAATTTGAGCAGGTATGCCTGACATGAGCAAAAATCACTCAATAAACAGAACTGAAACACTAAAGAGAATGCACTTTTTTCTTTTTTTCTTTCCAATTGTGTTCCAGGCGTGGTACAAGTGTAATGATGTGAACACAGCCATTGACAAGGATGAGATAGGCAATGCCATGAAAGAACTGGATGTCCTGAAAAAGTCAGTCACAGAGAAAAGTAAAGAAATGCAAAAGCAACAAGTTGCGCTAGACAGATCCCAAAGAAAAAAGAAAAAGATATCCAGACATCTCACAAGGTCGAACAAGCAGTTTGGTGAGCTGACACAAACCGTTGATCGGCTTGAGGAGCAGAAGAAGGAGAATGCTAACACCATTGCACAGCTGAGAACTGAATTGACAACTGTCAAAACACATCTCTCGGCAACGATTGTTGGCAAGAAAGCAGAATGCCAGCAGAAAATGCTCTTCAGACGGAAATACCAAGTAGCGCTACAGACGGTCAACAAACTCAAGAAAAAAATATCTGGCACAAAACAAGCACAGCAGCAGCAACAAGTCAGAGAGCAAGTCAACATTGAAAAGGAAAAGAAGACGATAAAGACCCTTGAAGGCAGGCCCCCGCGCTATACGGATGCAGTGCGCCTCTGCTCTCTCATAATATCGGGGTAAACCATGTGTCTCCCGTAATTCGGTGTGTGATTGAAACACTTACTGGGCACCAGGTTGACCGGCTGCCACGCCCTGCTAAGGTGTGCGACTTCCTGGCCGAGTCTAAGCAACTGGTCCTCACACAAATCGGAGAACAGATGCTAATGGAGGACAACATAACACTGCACCGTGACGGCGCATCCAAACAAGGACACAAGTATTACACGGCGCAGCTAGCCACTCCCGACAGTGTTCTCAGCCTCGGCCTCGCACCAGTGAAATCTGGCACTGCAGAGCACAGCTTCGAAGCCGTCTTGAATATGCTGTCCGATGTTGAGCAAGCCTGTCATAGATCAGGATCGGACATGCCGGTGGCAAGGAAGTTGATTAGTAACATCAAAAACACAATGACCGATCGAAGTAGTGTCGAAAAGAGCGTGAACAAAATGCTCGAGACGTACCGTGCAAACATTCTTCCAGAGATGGTGGACGGCTGGACCACTCTACCAGAACCAGTCAAGCAAAGCATGCTCTCCATCAACACTTTCTACTGCGGTCTACACTACATTGTTGGACTGGCAGAGCAGGCACAGGAAGTGTGACGCATCTGGGAAAGGACACACTTCGATACAGCAGCAGTAGGTGCTGCAAGCCAAGGGTTCGAAAGTACTGGAGAGGCTGGCACTGTTCGTCTCATCCGGACTGCCTTCAAAGCCTTGGAGGCTCATTGCGATGAGCAATCTGGAAATCATGTTCAATTTCAGAGTTATTTGATTTCTAAAGGTGTGGAGTGCATTCCACTTGCACGGTTTGTGGGCAACCGCATCAATATCATTTTCTACAATGCTGCTGGCATCCATACGTTGCGAGAGCACATCCAGCGGTTTTATAAAGATGCGTTTGGCACACCAAACCGCTTGCACCGAGCTGTTTTGGCCGACATCCAAGTTGACGGCTACATCGCAGCATGCAGGGCCCTCGGGATTGTCGGCAAGTTGATAACCGGTCCCCTCTGGAGGAAGCTGGAGCAGCCGGGCGTCACCGTCAACCACATGGGCGATGTGTACCAGGCACCGTGTACATCTTTCAACACACTCAAGTCAGACTCCACATCTTTGTTGGATGGCTCGGCTACAGTCTTTCCAGGAGCAGATGTGGTACTGGATGAAGTTCAGCATGACTTGTTCTGCAGCAACGGCAGTGATGAGACGACACTCATCATCCTGCAACTGCTAATAACAGCATTTGCAACTTACTCCGAGAAACTCCTTTCCGACCATTTGCTAGGTGACAAGTTCCACAATATGCCAGCAGAGCAGCAGAGGACAACGGAAAGTGTATGCACAACGAACGAGCATTTGCTCTTTTGGACAGACTCCACCATCAGAAACCCAACGCGTCTGCCATTGCCATTGAGGGCATTGTATTATTCTGCTCGAACCATACTGGTGAGTGGCTGCAGAATCAGTCGGAGCAGAGGCGAGGAGAGCTATTTAAAAGCGCTCTCGCTGGTGCCCAAGAACACCGTCATCTTTACCGCCAACGCAGCCAGGCGATCCGCGATTTTCAACGGCAAAAGGTGGTAGAGAAGGAAACGCAGCGACTGCAGAAGGAGGCCCACACTCTCCAAGAGAAAGAGCAACTTGCTGAGAAAATTGCGTCGGAAGGGCTCCGGAACACTTCCGCATTAGTAGCAGAGAAGCTTTCCCTTCTGCCAACAGTCGCCAGGAAAGTGTCTGCCTTGAAAAATAAAATAAAATTCAGGCGCAGCGTTCTGCAGCAGAAAGGTAATAAGATCCTGTTCCAGTGGTCGTCCGGCGGCAAGACACTGACATGGCAGGAGCTAAGGGAACACCTGATACAGCTCATCAGTGAAGCCAGCACGGACACACCAGGACTGACTACGCAGGATTAGAGAGCAGGTGAGTTCCATCGTAAACTATTGCATTTTCTTCCACGTCGTTGTTTGTGTTTTTGACTTTTTCAAATAATTGAACCTGCACGTGCTCGCCATTTTTTTCATCAAAATGTTTGTCCCCGCCGCGAGTACGCGCGGTATGGTAGCCCTGAGAACTGCGCAAACCCGATGCGCAGTGTGTTCGCTGATATCCCTACATAGAGATACCGTATTATCTCTAATATAAGCACGGTCCTTTGTTTTTTCAATGTACCTCCGCCCCGTGCTATTAATGGAGACGTTCCTTTATTGGAGACTGTTCCGTTATTATTTCAACCTCATTTCAAAGGCATGTTGCCATGCCAAATTCATGTCAGACACACACATTTCAGGGTTTTTTCGCCGGTACAGATAATGAATTTACACAGTGTGCTTATAATGGAGACTGAGCACTTTATTTTTTGAATGCCGCCCCAAGGTGTTCTATTATTGGAGACGTGCTATTATTGGAGACTGTGCTATTATTGGAGACGTGCTATAATTGGAGACTGTGCTTATATTAGAGATAACACGGTAGCTGGTTTGAATAGAAGCCTGACTTGAAGCCTGGCATTTACATCGTCTTCAACGGGAATACGCCCGGCTGATACACGTGGCATTACGGTAGTCCGAAATGAACAAAAAGTCAGTAAAATATGTACTCTAATGAAGTGTCCACACGTAACATGTACCAATCTGTACTGACATCGTAGTTCTCACTTACATGGGTTTGCTGCTCTTGGCTACAAAGTCGGTGAGCTGGCTACAGCATGCACTGCTCATAGTGCTCTTCGTCTTGGGCAGTAGTCGCTCGGCTAAGACATTGTAGATACGACTGGGCTGTTGGCTGTACTGGAATGCATTGATCTTGAGTATGTGCGCTCGCTGTGCTTCCTACAACAGACAACAAGCCAATCAAGAAACTCAGTGTCAACTTCTTACTGTTACAGCAGCACAGCAGTACCTAAAAGTTCAACACACTGCGAGGCAAAGCTGCGTGGTGCATTATTTGAGCAAACTATGATTTAGAATCCTGGAGGATGCTTCACACAGCTGTATAAGTAGAACAAGGCTGTGAGCAACACTGGCCCACACTCAATCACCGCAGTTCATACATTCATTTCAGGAAAAAAATTCAACTTTTCAGTCATGAAATACCAGGCATCAGGAAGGAAATGGGGCACAGCTGCATATTTCTGTCCCAACCATTGCTTCTCGTAGCTAGTGATACCATTCACTGCCATGTATTGCTGGTGCATTATACTGACTGTTACTTAGAAAGCGATGGCTATTTCTTTCCCACTGCTACTATGCTAACGCCAATAAGTCTCTACTTGGTGTGTGTAGTGTAGTAAGTTGTCGCGTATTGTGCTATTTTCTGTGCGAGTTCGTTGATGTTTTGTTTCCCTTTTTCCTCGCCCTGGTGCATGTGTGAATTATTAGAGGAGAGAGAGAGAGCATTCAATTACTGACCTTCATGGCCGTTAGAACAGCATTGACGCACGCCGTCTTGCCAGTCCCCGGCACACCGCTGATGTAAAGACAGCCAGACTTGCCAGCCACCAGAGTGCCACGCAGGAAATCATTTATTGAGCTGATCTCCTCTTCGCGACACGGTAACTCATGGTTTTCCCAGGCACGACTCAGCGTGGTGCGTTGGCAAGGGAACACGGGCGAGAAAGCAGACGATGGAGTTACGGGTGATGGAGTAGAAACGGAGCCTGCACGCATACACACACACACACACACACACACACACACACACACACACACACACACACACACACACAACCGAATCCACAGCAATGAGTAACTGGTGTAAAGTGGCCTAAAAGTAGGCCGTGATACAGCTTGGAAGGTATGAAATCCTACTAGGCAGCAGAAGTTCCTGGTCTTGTGGGTGAGCACTGTTGTGCGTATTCATCAAAAACGGCAGCCTAACGCTAGTCTCTCGCACATACAGTGAGAACTTCATACAGGGACAATCTGAAGTCTGCCATTCCGCGGGTTGCAGAATCGAGCAGTGTCCATAGAATTGTGATAATCCAGCGGAATATTTCAGAAAAATGACGAGAAACTGCTTTATTCTGGATGCCTGTGACGTAATCCACCGCCAAACCGACCTGATCAAGACTTTCAAAGTCAACTTGCAGCTTCTTTTCTTGGGCCAGGTTGGGTTTTCCCAGGTTGCAAAAGTCCACGGGTGTGCCTTATTTGGCCAGCAATGGCTGGACCCCTAACCATGAATATAAATTCGAGGGTACACGTGTGTGCTTGGTTCGAGCACCCTCAAGATACCACAATTGGGCCAACGAAACTCTGACCCAGTGGTATGCATTCTCTAGCATGTATGTGATGGGAGACAAGCTTGTACATGTACATGTATGTGAATATGTATGTAGCTGATGGCGCAAACGACGTTACGTGCCGGGATGTAGCGCCGCCTGCTATCGACAGGATGGGATATTGGCATTGGCCACAACCACACATGCAACACCCAAGCATTATAAAGAGGGCAAGCTTCAAATTCCGTATTTGTTCTAGATCAAAACATAGTACATGTATAAACTACCCTGCTTTGATACCGCCACACTCAGCAAGTACAGGCTGTAAAGCGATGTACACGTACAACAAATTCAGGACTTTCTGTACCTTGCTTCGTGATTTTACTGGTCGGGATATTCAGCGGGCTAGGCAGTTTCTTGCGCTTTGCACATGATTCCACTGCATTCACAACAATATACACAGGCAGAAAGAGAGGGTTGGATGCTTTCAAATATTTGCATACGACGTCCACCAAGAACACAACCAAGACCGGACATACCCTTTTCATCCAGCTCGTCTTCGTCTCGCTGGAAAAGTCGCCGGCGGCGAGTAACAGGGAAAACAGGACTCGATGTAGCAGCCATCAGTAGAACAAGAGAAGTGGAGGAATATAGAAATCAGACAAACATTGTTCGTTCCTGCATTTGAAAAGCTAGTGTGTTATGTGTGCAAGGATCGTAGAGCTGTTCTCCTTGAAGCAAAGTCGGCAACAAGAACACGTGAAGATCTCACATTTCGCGGGCTTTTTCCACAGCATGCATCAGCTCGATGGGGAATCCCCCACTGCGCCATGGCATGCAACCCAAAAATCCTTTATTATTTTTACCACACATCATCATGTATTCAGTCTGAATCAGGGAGTAGTACAATAATTACTCCCTGGCCTGAATGAAGGCTTCAGCCATGCCAGACGTGGGAGTAGACTCTCTGCATCATCAGATCATATCAGCGCATGTCATGTTAATGTTGCAGCATGCACGTTACGTGTAGATCATGGAAGATCAAGATGACGAGATCATAGCTGATCCAAAGAAAATAGGGACTACAACTTACAAGTACAACTAACTTGTAAGTTGTAGTCGACTGGATGTGGGTGACAGTCGAAGACTCGCTGTAGGGCGCGGCACGGGGCTACATTGCATTGAGTGAGGCGATATTGAGTTCAATCCAGAAAGATAGCAAGAGCGTGGAGCTGATGCTGGCTAGCTCATGGCATGCAGTACGCATACGAGTACATGTACTCCTGCCGACAACTGCCACACACGTATGCACACATACACAGTACACACACATACACACACACACCCACACGCACAGCGATCCCAGTCCACGGAAGTCGGGCAAAAAATAAGTCGAGTTCATGTCAACAATACTGAAATACACACCAAGAAAAGAAACAACTCTAAAGCATAACTTTGTTGTCATTGCACAATGGCATTGGTGGTTAGTGAGCAGATGATGGGAACAATGGCGGCAACAATGGCACATAGGCATTCTCAGCTGACCAAATCCAGCATTGTAATCATTAAGTTTAATCTGGCATACGCGACGCGATGCGCACGCATTCAGTGAGTACACGAAGGACACAAAAAAACAACGAGAAGAAATGGAAATTCAAAATTTAGCCCCACTTCAAAGAGTAAAGAAATAAGATGACTGCTGTAGTCTCCCCGTGTGCTTCCACTGTGGGAAGGTTATAGAGTGCAGGCTCGCTAAGACCACACACATGAATAGCAACGGCAACTGCAGCTGTTGCTGTTGCCGAGGTTGACCAACATAACAGAGAGTTGAAGGAGACAACAAAAAGGCGGTCGCTTGCGACGAATAAATTGTTGCGGGGCGAAGCTAAAGGACACACACGGGCGCGCGCCCAGTAAACGGCACAGGAGAATAGAAGGGGGAAGGGTTGTGGCTGTGAGCAATAGACAATGTCAACAAACACAAAGCGACAGGACAGAAGGACAAAGCAAACGACGGGTTGCAGCAGGCAGTGGTCGAGTCGGACGATCAGCAAGCACATTCAATGTGCGGGTGTGTGTGTGTGCGCGCGTGTCTATTGATAATCAGTTGATCATCTCCACATAAGGTACTGGGAACATTCCTGTTCGACCACCGCATTTACCGTGCCACCAATTCTTGTCCTTCTTGTCTGTGACAACAATGATGTCCCCTTTCCGGAACATAAGCTCGCCGTCTTCTTGTGGGTCAAAGTCGTATACCGCTCGCACTTTGACTTCGGTCTGAGAGACATGCATAGAAAGAAAGACGTCAGATACATTACATTCATTGCGGGACGGGAACACACAGCTAGTTATACCAAGAAACGTCACTCAACAAGTGGTGATCCAGAAAAAAGCACCGTAAAAAGTCTAAAGTCTCTGACCTTCCCAGATGTGAGTACGTCTACAAAGGGCCTATCTGCCCCCTAGAGCAACAAAGAACGACACCAAAAGGTATGCAAACTGCATGTCTCTTCTAGTATTGTGGGTAGTCAGTCCATGGCTCCAGAGTGGCAGAAAAGGGGAAGTTCCACTGTATCCAATGCCGTTCACCAAAGTCGCATCCAATTCACATAGGTTTTTTATAGGTGCAGTAATAGATTCAAGACAAGTGGTGGATACAAACAGAAAACCTGAACATGTAGAATTGTTGGACATATGAATCATACAATATAGAGCACATGGGTAGGCTCCTGTACAGTTTGTAAACCAAGGTTGAATCGAAAGCAGTGGGGGGGGGGGGGGAGAGGAGAGCGATGGTGATAGCGAGCGGGCGAGAGGGAGGAGAGAGAGAGAGAGAGAGAGAGAGAGAGAGAGAGAGAGAGAGACCCACATTGACAGACCACAGAAGAAAAAGAGACAAGAATCACAGAATCTCACCTCCCCTGCCGACATGTCTCGTAGGTAGATTGTTTGCGTTCTTGAAACGGATGAGGTCCGATGGTACTCGACGAGTTCGTTGAGCGAGTTAAATTTGACCACCCAAAGGAAATACATGCCTGCACCATCGCGTAGTACCTTGAAGTGCTGTACTTGACCTTGAAACCTTACGGACAGGGAAAACTCACCTACAGATCACAACCATGACCAGCAGCAGCAACAGCAACAATACAAACAGAACAAGAAACTTAGAAACTGGGAAGAGGAAAGCAGCAAAGTGGCAATACAAACAACACAAGGAACTTTGGTATATGGCAGAGGGAAGCAGCAGCAAAGTGGCTGATTGTATAGCACAGGATCTACTCCTCATTGTTCATGCACAGTCGATAACTGCATGAGCAGGTAGCTCTCCAGAGTATGCAACACGACATAAACCTCTGTCACAACTCATTTTTCAGAAGCACATCATACATAACTATTATGAAGAAACCCACTTGATGAGTACACAACAAACAGCATTCTGTGCGGCTGACATCACCGAAAACAAGTCGTGACAGTCACCCATCAGGAGTTGCACACTCTTCGGATCTTGATAACAGCTCCAAGATTTTGCATTTACCCGCTCACTGTACATAATCTACCTAGTGCTGCAACCGCAGTCTCGCACCAGCTAACACGGATCAATAGGTCAGGTCTGGTTAGGTTGTTAGCACCCTGCGTGTCTTTCAGCCAAACACCTGTTTTTCTTCCATGGCACGGGCAGAATCCTGCATGTCTTTCAGCTCAAGAAAGTCCGGCAAAAGCATTGTCATCGTGCTTCCCCTCCAACTTCGACGGATCATCCATTTTTCAAGTTGAATTTCCCTTTCAAATTTCCTTTATTTTCCGCATTAGGTCCTCTTCCACTATTACTTGTTTGTCTTATCTACCACACCGGCTATTATGCTGGAGGAAAAGCTGTCGCGAATCGACTTTTTCTCTCCAAATATCAAGATGAAAAATGACAAACAAATTCATGTGCATGATAGCAAGAGCACATAACCTCAAACAGTATTCAACTTCCTGCACAACCCCTATGCAGTGCTGCGACTTGACATGGTTCAGACGGTTACGCTGGAAACCGTGCAAAGCGACTAGCAGAGAAATGAACCCAAAGCAGGGTTGAGTACAACTCTCTATCTATCATGCACAGGGTGGGTGCAAATCATGTGGACGGGTTTGTCATGTGATGGGAAGTTCTACTATCGCAAACCCCATAGTTTAGAGTCGCACACTCTTGGTCGTTATGTACTCTGGATAATAGATGCCGCGTAACATGTTGAAACCATGTCACGTGATGCGAAGTTCTGCCGTCGCAGCACTGACATACAGGCCAACCCTCCCGGTTTTCCCGGGAAAATCCCGGGAAATCAACACCACTCCCGGGGTCCCGGGGATTTTTTAAGCAAACTCCCGGAAAAGTCACATTTTTGTCTGATACAGAATGTGTCTGAAAACTCCATGGATTCGCCTCGAATGTCCCGTTTTTTCAAAAATACGTACAGTGCGCACTCGCACTTCGAACTGTGCACGGCACTTTCAAGACCTGACCAGCCTAGACTGCACTACAGCCTACACGATCGAACTCAGTGTGCTGTACGCAGATCTGCAGAGTCACTGTACTATGCCGCCGAACGTTTTTTGGCGGGAAAAGCTCTTTTTCATTTGTTTTTGCGCCATCCAGGGATTTTGAGAAATCCAGAGATTCTCCATGTCTTGTCAAGGGATTGAGATTTTGGTGGTTGGTCAGTATGCACTGAGTACCACCAAGCCAGCACAAGTCTGTAAAGCTACATGTGGGCCAGCTACAAGCAAATAAGACAGTACCCAGATTCCACTAAAATGCTAAGCAATAACACACCAGGTTTGCACTGATTTAGAGTTGGGTTAAGAGGCAATCTGTCTGTGTCTCTTGTCATCAAGACGGAAGGTGTACAGCCCCTAACTCACACAATCTAACACATAGAGTTGGTACATCAACACAGCGAAGGGCAGTGCTCAAGCCTTCGGATCACGGGTCTACCCTCGTTAGTAGACAGCCCAGGGGATCCAATTTTTGTTGCTGTCTTACAACCAGTATCATCTGCTATCCGGACTTGAATGTACGCGTTTCAGGCGTCAGGGTATTTGGGATTGTTGTCTACTAGTGAGGTTTGTCTTGTAACCGATGTCGTACTGACGAGCGTAGACCTGTAGTGTGGTGTTTGCCCAGCATATCTACACAGTACTGCACTGGTGACAAAAGCAGATATCCATCCATAGACAGTGCAGCTGCATTCGAAACACTAGAAACACCAGCCAAGCTACGTACCTGGCGTGCTTTCACTCTCTCGAATTAGAAATGCACCATCGATGGACTGTTGGAGTAGAAGCTCCTCTGCCTTACTTCGTGTAATCCGGCCAAAAAACCACCTAACAAGAAGACAACACAAAGCACACACCAGCGGCAAAGTCAGATCAAGCTTAAAGAAAACACCCGATAGCCCCAAAGGGTCAAGTTTGTACCTTGGTTGAGCACTGTATTGTCCCTCACCCTCCACACATACACACAAACGCGAACGTGCGCATGTGCACACACACACAGCCATATCGATGCGCAACCATTGGACCATTGGACGCCCATCGCCGGAGGCGATGATAGCGATGCTACAGCAAAAGCCATAGCAGCTTGTGCTGGGATTGCACCATTAAACAGCTTGCAAGGCTGAAGAATTGACCGCCACTATTCAGCCTGGTCTACCCCACACAGCTATGAAGAGGCTATTTCTGGCCAGTGAATCCCTACTTTTTGGTCTTTTTCATTTTTTTCACGCACACACATCACACCACTGGCTGTTGGTAACCATGTTATGTTGCACATGTATGTATGTATCCCCTCCCACACACACAAGTATGGTACAGCAATTTAGGCCCTGCAGAGAGAACACAGTACACATGCCTGTACCCCATCAAAAAAGCAGCAGGGTACTTGAGAGGACTTCAGCAGCCATGTGAGAAGACAATGGTAGATTTTGACAGTAAAAGATCATAGAGGAACTCCGGAAAAATCCATATCCTTGAATCTAACATTTGATTGACAAGACTGTTTTCTAACATCCGGACCTAGGCACTTACCCTTCGCATTAACTACACTATCCTTACTACTAACACGCCACCAGAAACACCCAAAGAAATCTCAAACGTTAACCCAACACGTGCTGAAGCAGATTGCTTTCTAGCTCCTTGTGTCTAGCCCATTCCCACTGGTGCACTAAACTACACCAAGAAATCTGCAAGTCAATCTCTACTCCTTGCAACAAGAGGATGTACCCCAGTGTGCAACTCTACCATCAGTAGAATTTCAAGTTGACATCATTTTTATGGTGGAATGCACGGTGCACACATTCAGAAATGTCCGAGACAAGTGGTGGACACACCGCCACATGACCCGCCACACACTTGTGGCAGTAAACACATGTGGTGGGTTGACAGCTTTGTGCAAACGTCGGAAATTGCACCTGCAAAGAGCATTGCATCAGGAAAACAATGTCAACTTGAAATTCTGTTGGGACAGCACGGCATGCGGGAGTTGCACACTCTTACTCGCACCCATACCACACCATGTGACGCATCCTGCACAAAGTACAGCTATGGCAAGTGAACACCGTTATACACAAACAGTTCACATGGACATCTGTATTTGTATTTATGCATTCTCCACAGGCCTTAGCCTAAACCGAAGAAGTCTATGTCTCTAATGTTGATAGTAAAGATGCAAAAACCAGACCATGCCCTAGTCAAATCTGCACAAACTACTCCAGCTGTGGACAGTACCGTTTTATTATTTGTCAAGCTATCAGCGCATCACAGAAAAAATGAGGCCGAATCTGGTAGCAATGAAAACTAATACTTCTCGAAGCCAGAGTTCAAGGGGTAACTACAGTGCACACTGATGTACACTTGCAACAGCAAAGGCTGCTCGGTCTTCATGTCCTGTGCACTCTCTCTCTCTCTCTCTCTCTAGCATGGGTGCGTGATGCCATCAAATAGATTTGCAGGTCCGAAAGGTGGATACAGGTTGGGATTAGACTTGATTGTGGTTTCTGGAGGGGTGCCTGAGGGGCAGAATGGCTTTGCATGGCCGTTTGCTTTACACCATCACAGGACCACCTCTTGCCAACAGGCGGACATAACCGAGCATAGCCTGATGACCATGCACTGCTATAACTGAGGGTGGCAGGTTAAACAGGGTTGGTGTGTATACGGTAATCAGTCTGGTCTACGAGCCAAGAAACGGGCTCATAAGCTTGACTTGTGTTGCCAACACAACACCTACAGCAGGTAAGGAAGTTTAGTGCTCCAGGCAATTTACGTGGACTGGAAAATTTAACAGTACAGTCAAGTGTCAAGTCAGTCGGCAGGAAGCTCGAGCTCCGACGTTCGGAGCAGACATGTTCTGGAAAAGTAAAGTCACTGCATGTCAGCGCATACATGTACTGCTAACTACTGGCCGCACCTAGCAGAGTGGGTAGCGAAACCAGTCATCATTGCAATGAGAGACCAGCCATGTAGACACATATCATACCACACACTACGTTGTCGATAAGCACATTTTGCAATAATTGGTAGCGAGTATCGAGTACGACCATAACGAGTAAGTGACGAGGAATTGGCATGATCGTTTCACCCCTACATGTAAGGTACTCTTCAAATTAGGGGTATCATCGAATAGTAGAGTACACGTGCTACTCGCAATTAGAGCGGGTATTTGGGTAGCAGTTTGCTCCTGAGAACCCGATTGGGCAGTTGGAGTACGGTGTTTTCGCAACGGTGCATGTAAAAAGCACGACTATGTGCCTACTGTTCACTTTCTATGTAGCGCAAGTGCACACTCCGATAGGGTGCCCTTGCTACCCGGATAGAAATACACGAACTCGTTACCCGGCCAAAGCCCTACCTGTTGCAGCACTACTTCAACTACGCAGTGATCCGACGCACATCATTCACTCCTTTATCACTGAACAGTTCTGTCCGTTTGGTGGTTTGCACATTCAAATAAAGAAAACAACAACGTACCGTATTTTCCTGAGCATAATGCGGACCCCCTCTTTTGAGTAATGTTTTGGCGGTTCAAGGCATATAGTACAATGCACAGCCTACAGTGCATTTCAAAACTATAGACGCGTAGGGTTTTTGAAATATTTCAAATTTGGCTGGAACTTTTTGAGAATAGTTTTCGGAATATTGCTCAGGATCGCTCCACAATTGCTCTCATATAGTTTCTAAAGGATTGGATAACAGACGCCCGATTTGGAAAAATTTATGCACAAAGTGATCACAGATTTTATGTGGTATAGATGCTGGCATAACGGTTTTTGCCTAGGTACGCGTCTATAGTTTTGAAATGGACTGTAGATTCGAGAGGAATATCGATCACATAGACAGTACTATTGCGACCATTTTCTATTTGTAAAATGCACATGCTACCGATGGGGTCTTGTACCAATCATGCATTAGCAGTGTAGCTGGCAGTAGACACTAGAAATGCACAGTCATATTATGGTTTGCTCCGGGTCAGAGGCAGCCAACTTCGTAATAGTTTGATGCATTGCACTACTTTTCAAGGCACATGCACATGCATTTTCATATTCAGAGCAGAGTGCGCACTTGCGATTTGGGGCCTGAAATAGTACATCTAAAGTGTCCACTATACTCCGGAAAATACGGTACACCCAGTACAAAATTACATAAAACCTAAAAGGCACCTTTCTCCCAAGCCTGCATTCAGACTACATTTCATATGCAGCATATCGGCAACTTTTGACCTTGTGTAGTTGCGCAAGTGGATGTACGTAAATCAACGGTAAATGTGGGGTCAACATTGCTGTTGTTATGTGTGCAAAGGTGGTTTATACTTTTGAAACTCAGAACATAGTTCTACCGGCTAGTACTACACAAGCACAACAAAACACCGATATGTACACAGTGGGCACAGCACTCGACAGAGGGGACCCACAGATTGACATGATTTCCCGGCTTAGAACGCAAATGCAGATTAACACTATTTTACAGGGTTGCAGAAGAGAACTTTTGGACATACGTACAATGTACTGTGCACTAGGACACTACACGGGCACAAGATCACAAAACAGCAACATCCCAGGAAAAGGCCCCCGACAATTTTTGCAATGGACCATAATAATTTAATTCAACGGTATCCTGCTTATAATCGTTAGTGTTGGACGAAACGGATAACTTGTAAACTTATGGTCCTCTCTTAAAAAAAAATTATGCAACAGTATCCTTTTATAACTTCCCCAACCCTTAAAAATTATGAATAATTATGATTGTCCCGGTATGATCAGTTTGAAACCAGATCTCAACAGCACCAGCTGTGATTTGACATTACAGAAATCAATGCTGTCATTGACCAGGAAACCAGTAGAGAGGATAATTATGCTACATTTTATTCGACTGGCATGGTAAGACAACCCCTTGTAACAAAAAAACCTCGTGGAGGACTGTGCATTGTACTGACGGACAGAACACCCAAGGATATGAAGCAAATCTATTCGTGCAGTTTTTCATTGAGGGCACATGACTACAAGTGAGTTCAAACTTTTGAGTCAAAATCCAACAGGTGTATAGCACAACAACGAGCCACTCGTACTCCTGAGCGAAAGATCACAAACTGGTGCATGACTAGCTTAGGGAAGTTAGGGAGAGAGCTCGCCCTGAGTGCAGCTGACAACTGATTGTGGCCAAGGGGTGGCTTAGTGAAACGTCTACTCTTGTCACGAAAAACAATTTATCGAACGCTCAGTGTAACACAATCAAACTTCATTTCAAGTCCGCGTCTTTCAAATAATTATTACTGGTGAAAATAGTTCAGATTGTGTATTCAGACGATTCAATTTCATACCCAAATCCAATTTGCACACCGTCGAACATCAAACGGGGAACTACGGAAGTGGACATAACGACACACATGCTAAGCACACGCACACACAAGGAGTACAAGTCACGGACTACTTCAGGGAAACATACCAGAGACCTGGTGAACACTAAGTATTAGTTTCTATTCAGTAACATTCGCCTACAAACTGACAGTAACAAATTTCTGTCAAGCTAGCTCAGAGCCAAGCAGCTCAAACACGTGCTTCACAGACGCCCACAGCAGTAAAATACCCAAGAAGCAACAGATTCTACTCACGGATGTTCCTTTAGCTTGATATAGTTCTTCGGCACGTATCCTACTCGCCCACTCTGCTCGGCTTTGTACCAGCTCTGTTCCTCGTCCATCACCAAAACCTACACACAGATGAAAAGCTGGGTCAGTGCTATGTCCGTGTAACACACGAGAACCCGCTTGAATTTACTTTGATGATAGAGGACTTCGCGAAGGACAGCTCATCTTCCGCAGTGGCGTGGAAGTCGTGCAGGGTGATAGCCTCCATCGTGAGCCACACTCGGCTACGGACCAGGCACTCTTCGATGTAAACCAGAAAAATAGGTGAAGTGGCTGCCGATCTTAAACGGGCACTAATCTAAAGAAGACAGTTGACAGACTACACTGCAAAAGCTCTCTCCACGGCTGAAAACTAGCAAACAGACACGAAACGCGGTGTTGCAAGGAAACAAACCAAGATTGTTGCTCTGCCTTCTCCACCACTGGCAAGACACAGGAGCCAGCCTTGACTGTGAAGCAAGAAAAGAAAAGCTGACTTGCGTAAAACTTTGAGTTTCTCTGTTGGGACTGCGTTAATTTACCAAAATCCTACTTTATGAAGAATATTTTCTCAACACCCAGCGGTTTGGTATAATTTTCTCGGGTGAAGTTTGGTTACATCGCGATTATCGTTTTGTCATCTTTCGTATCCCTGGAAACAAGGCAACTCGAATCTATTTTTGTAACCAAGCGAAGCATGTAGCGCCAAACAGGAGTCTGCTCAAAGTGCTCCAAACAACTCATGATTTAGCAAGAAGCTATATCCGTGCATGGTGGACTGATGACAGGCTGCATGTTGGAGTTTTAGTGTTTTGGCTTTGCCCCCTGGCCCGACCTACGCCTTGGCTTCACCCTGTGTGAAGAAGGCGATAAGTTCGATTTATCGTGGCGAAGAAAGGCTGTCGGTAGGAGTAGGCTTTTCTCCTTCTTCAATTCGTGTTCCTGTCGTCAACAAACAGTATTTTGGGAGCCATCGTACGAGTTTGTACCAGGGCACGCTACGCAGTTTCATAGTTTTTGACAGAGCTGTGCCTGGTTCTCCTCGCTGCATGAGGAGACAGGGAAGAGACGGCCGTAATGAATTTACGACATCTGAACACGCTGCTTGAAGCTCAGGTGTGTAGTGCTGTGGATATAAATTTGTTTTCGGGTTGTGTGTTAGCAGTACGCCTGATTCCTGTTTTGTAACACATGTTTGTAGGCTGGAGCAGCACGAATAACTTGCCTTGCTTGGTCACCGAACAATCTCAAGCTTGCAGTGGTTCTGAACAAGAAGACAATTGTTTTGTTCGATGAGAATGGAGAGCGAAGAGATAAGATATCTGCCAAGGCCTCAGACAAGGTACTTCCTCTCTTCATTTCAACTATTTTGTGTGAAAATGGCAACATCCATGCTGTACAATGCTATAAACTTTCATAGCGCTATCTAGCTAGGCCTCATCCACACACCGATACTTGCTGCCGGTATTCGCATTCCCGTTGAAGTGTAGCATTGAAGTGTAGCATTGAAATGTAGCATTGACGTGTAGCATTGAAGTGTAGCAGCAGGGTGCTGAGTCCACAGCTTCGCACATGCTGAATGGCACCACATGCGGATGGCAGTGTCAAAATAATTAATTCACTTATAAGATGCCTGATTGACCTGCATTCATACTTGTACATGCTCTCAAAGTTTGTTTAGGCCGTTATCACACTGCGTTTGTTTGAGTCGCATTTGCGTCTGCGTTTGCGTTTGAGACTGGAAAACGCAAGACGTGATATCATACTATACTTGTGATTTTCAGCGTTTGCGTCAAAATCTGTGCTCGCGGGAAAATACAAAAATGTGGGGAATCGATCTCCAGGTGGCCGTGGATGTTGAATTAATTATTTTCCTGAGATCGAGAAGTGTTCTGTTTCTGCTCCATGTCCTTTGTCAGTGGTGCTGGGGGAATGGGAGTCGATGGGAAGACTGCAGCCGTTGCGTTGCCTGTGTTGGGGTGGCGGTTCCGTTGTTGAGGCACATCGTCCAGCTAGGCTAGCCGTCGCCAACTAGTCAGCGCAACCTCAGCCACGAGCTCGCATCAGCTCCATGCCTCGCGAATCCAAAATCAATCAATCAGTACAATGTCATGTAGTAGAAGTACCCTCGCCAGCCTCAGCAACTAGATGGAAATGAAGATTTGAAAAGCACACTTGAGAATCACTTGAAAACACTCAAAAACAATGCAGGAAGTGCTGCGATAAAGAAAGTCCGATCTGCGTTTATGCGATTCGGTTTTGACTACCACCCTCCCCCCCCCCCCCTGGTCTGCGTCTGCGGCTGTGCGTCTGGAAACCAACGCGCTGGCGATAACGTCACGTGATGGCATTTCCTAGGCGACCGTCAAAAACCGAAGAAAACGCAGACGCAAACGCGACTTTTGAACGCAGTGTGATTAGGGCCTTAGAAAGCAGTGCACTCTTTAAAAGGAAGCCAAGTTCAGCCACAAGAATCACACTTTCACCTCTACTTTTTCAAACTTTCACATGCTGAACGTGGAACTTGAGGTCCGTGAAACTAATTTACTTTCAGCCCGAGATCTGGCGCGCTTTGTTTGCGTAGACGCCGAGACCTTTGAGGTCGGCAGAGCAGCCTGGCCCCGCCACCACTTCTCGCACATATTCGGGAATATAGTGGACTTTCGTATATAAAATAAAAATAAAAAATCTGGAAATTTGAACAAACGGCGAGGAGACAACAATTTGATAACCGCAATCAGTAATACAAGCTGGATCGACATTTGTGTACGCTGTATTCATGTATACAACAAAGACCGAAGCGAGGGCGACCTAGAAAACAACCGTTACCTACACAACTTGCGGATCCTGGCTCACAGACTGTGCTTGCTCCGCCGTCGCTGGTGGCGGTGGTGGAGGAGGGTGGGCGTGGTGGCTCATCGGGCCGGTTTGTGTCGCCGCCTTTGCTCCTGCCGTCGGTGGTTCCTTCGTCAGTGCCCCCGGCGGCTTTGGCTGGGGTGGTGCCGCTTGCGGTCCCGGTCCCACTGCCTCCTCCTGATCCTCCGCTGTCGGCTCTTGCGGCGGTGGAGCTTGCCAGTGACAGACCGCGAGCAACACCGGCAGGGGCATTGACACTACAATTGCCAACCCAAAAAGACTCACCTTGCGTATTAGCAGCTCCCACACCATCACCAACAATGCAATCTACAGCAACCACAACTAATCCACCATCCAAGCCCATTATTGAAAGACCAAGACGATCAACAGCCAACTACAACAGAAACTACGCACTCAACGGACAAGGGCGTAAGGAGGGACGTGAGAGCAGGGTGACGGCGGAGTCCCGTTCAATGGACCATGTCAGGCGGGATAACAGAGAGAGCGCAGAGGAAGCAGATGATGGGACAGACGGTGAAGGGAGCAATGAGTCGGAGAGCGACGATTGTAGTGATCGTGAAAGTGCCGGTGAGAATGTTAGTGTTGTGCGTAGGTTTCGTGGTAGCAAGTCTTCAGTGTACAATCATCTGTTGGCTAGTCCTGATTGTTGCAATTCGTATTCCGACTCTTCATTCACTGTATTGTGCCGTGGTCGTCATGGTTATGGACTACAGTTAACGGTTTTGGAAGCCATCTGTCAGCGTCTGTATAAGCCTAATTTGTGTGTACAGAAAGATAGTATAATTGGGTTGAAATTGTTCAAGTAAAGTGTCATGTTTGGTGCGGCCAAGCTTGGCCGTTAATGTTCTAGGTGTAATGTACTGCTGTTATTTGTTATCACTTTGTCCTTCCTTCTTTCTTTCTCTTCTTTGTTCACTTTTCAGTTGCAAGTTTAGTGTTAGTACACACATTCGTTATTGCTCTCGCTTTCATTGTTAAAATTCACACTTGTAAATTTCACTGCTGTTGTTCTTAGTGTTATTTCTCTAACTTAGATTTTCTATAATAGTTAATTTTGTTTTCAGTGTCCTTTAGTACAACGAAGATTCCTGATGAGTGTTGTACGAAAACTTGTTTGAATCCCTTTCTTTCTCTACACAATTTCTTCACATTTTCATCGTTTTATTGCACATTGTCTCCACAGTTTTACAATACATGAATACAGTGTACACAAATGTCGATCCAGCTTGTATTACTGATTGCGGTTATCAAATCTGGAAATGTGCCAAGATTGGAGTACACTGATGGCAATGACTTAACATCAGTTTCCCACTCTACATCTTGCTCTTGCTGAGGCCAGGAATATATTTACCAGTATGTACTGGGACTGAGTGTAGTCATTGGCAGCATTGAAGTATGAGCGACTTATGTGCAGTTTTGTACCGTGTATGGATGTGGCTTTAAGACCTATTGCACGCTACAAACATGTGAAACACAGGTAGCCCGTTATGCCTTTTGTGTACCTGTTCAAGTGCAGTTGCACATTTCACAAGCAGTTAGTACTGTGTGCGTTTTTAGCGAACAGCAAACTGTGGAAATTGCAACTCCGCGCGGAATTAATAAAACATCACTGCTTTTTTAAAAGAAGTTCCTGATTTACGGAAATGCAGTTCCGAAGAAATTTTTTGTGAGAGATTGCATTCAGTTGATGATACTCGTACTGCAGTGGCTTCCAAGATAATCTGCCCATTGCTGTAGCCATCCTCCTTAACCTGTGGTTGACACCGGCCAGGAAAAAGCAGCGACACACACGTCCTTTGTCAACCGATGCACATTATCTCCGTTATTTCATTAATCGTTTGCACATGTGTGTGTGTGTGTGTGTGTGTGTGTGTGTGTGTGTGTGTGCGTGCGTGCATGCGTGTGTGTGCGTGTGTGCCCACGTCTTGTTGTTGCTCTGCTGCCATTCAGAACTGCAAAGTCTTCCAAATCCAAGGCATTGCTTTCAACCCGGCATCAAATTGTCTTGCCACTGGGCAAACAGACAACTGCGTGTTTGTGTATCGTATTGGTGATGCATGGTAAGTCCATGTAGCTGGCGTGTTGATATTAGTTGTTGCGCTGCTGCTGCTGCTGCTGCTAGCCTAGGCCGTTCTTATTTCCAGGTGCTGCCGTCTATGCGCAGTTGAGTCACCGTGTATACAATGGTATGCTGGGCTTGGTGAAATTCGAGCCTGGTCGTTCTCCTGCTCTCTGTCCTTCGGCGCTACCCGACAGTACTGTATGTCACCAAGGACCATTGTTTCGTTTTGTTGCTGCTGTTGCTGTGTTCTTGTTCAGGGGCGAGAAGAAGGCACTCATTCACAAGTTTTCCCAGTCTGTGAGTACATGTGCAATCAGTAGTCGTGTACCACTTTGTGCTGTGAGCACACTGAGCAGGGTGAAAATGCCCCCTACACACTCCCTCCCGAAATTGAATGCATTGCTGCAGAATCATAGAATGCATTGTTTCTCTTTACCGACGACATCCCTGGTTTTCCCTATGCAGGGTGCATGGCATGTGTGTAGTTGCTGAAGAGTAAACCAACGTTCTCTGGTCCAAGGCAGCAGCCGAGTAGATACTTGCAATACTCCCCTGCTGTGCTCCGTGTGAGAATCAATGCAGACGTTGTGCATGTACAACCATGGGCATCACCACAGGACTAGCACAGCTGCCCTTGGTTTAGGTTGAAGTTGGCTGCAACTGTGCACTACTGATTATGCAATCACTGGCCATATCATGCAATCAGTAGTGTTTGATGACTGAGAACTGTATGTAAGGTGTGTTTGCAAACACGGTTCACGTGCATGTTGTGAATGCTTGTTGCATGTCCACCGACCACCATCAGAACACCGTTTCCTTTGTGTTGAGTGGTTGTGTCCATGCATGCTGCTATGCTCCATGTTCACACAAACATGCAGAGTCCCGTGACGTGCCTGATATGGCCAGCACAGCAGCAGAACTTTGTCTTCTTTGGTCTGATGGAGGGAAAGGTTAGTAGCCAGCCTTTAAAAAGGCTTCTGTTGTGATAGCGGAATACTGTGGAGGGGAATGCATACATGAAGCAATTCTGCAAGTCAGTCCCTTGTGCTCTTTGTCCAGTATTGTTTTGCCATCATCTTCAAGGGTGGCTGGTGCTGTGATATCGGTATTACTATTAGCACATTGGTCACATAGGACCTGTCTCCGGCAGTGGACACGCCCTTTCATAATCATGTGTTCACTATTCAGCTTTTTTCATGCTCCAGGGTGTTCAAACCATTATAGTGTGTCATGTGTCATCATAATCTTCTGTTCACTATTCAATTTTTTTAATTTCTTCAGGCTCTTGAAACCGTAGTGTGTCATGCTTGTCTTTAGTTTAGGACGACTGTTGATTTTGTTCTGGGGTGGCGGTCAACTCTCTGACTACACGCATGCCTCTCTTATGTGGACTGTCCGGGACTGGGCATTGCCCATGACTGGGAAATGTCCAAAACTCTGAATCACATACGTTTCGACGGGGAAGTGTCAAAGATCTGGCATTTGAGATTACGATTTCCACAACAAATTAGCAAAAGAGTAGTAATATTTCCACTAAAACTAGCCCACAGGGTACCCAGTAGACCGAGGTACCCGTAACGTCGAGGTCCGGATAAGAGAGCGATATGAGTGTACATTGTATATTGCTGTGCATCTCCTTCTGCGGTGCCTATTGGTGGTATTGCCGCCATCAGCATAATGTCTGGTTCCGGCATGTGTGTTACGGGCAAACAAAATACAATTCAATGTGCCACCATGAAGGATTAGAGCACAACACGAAAAGAAAGAAAACAATGCATAAAAGTAATCGTGTAGAAAAGATGCTAGGAATGGAAACCTATGTGTTTTGATGATGGTGTTGTTGGCGGTTTGTGTGGTTAGGTACGTGTTGGTGATCTGAGCCGTAACAAGTCCTACACGCTCTACAACACCAAGTCCTATGTGTGCTCCATTGTGGCAAGGTTAGTATTGTACATAGTCACTCTTGTTACTGAATTGTTACTGAACTATCCTAACCACCCCTGCATCCAACCCTTGGTATGCACTACAACCGACAACCGTTGCAAACGCGGGCGTGGAACTTGTGGCGCAACCGACAGTCCCTCTTCATATCGCGCTCTTGATCACAAAAGAAGCACATAAGCGGTCTCTGCTCCTTGGACGTATGGTGCTGCTTCTCACGGCTCCTGCTGCCGTCCGCCCTTCTGCTGGCGGCGGTACGGACAGTTGCGCTGGACGTGTCCCACCTTATTGCAGTTGAAGCACAAAACACTGGATTGACGAAGTTCTGCAGCAGCAGCGGCAACAGCTCCCGATGCACTGGCGCGCTTGCGGCAGGAGTCGTCCGTAGCTCGCAGTGCACAGACTTTGGCAATACATTTACTAACAGTCCGGTCTGCACATGTCCACTGTGGGGGGGGGGGGGGTATCAATGCGGACGGGTGCCCATGTGTGTGTGTGGGGGGGGGGGGGGTATCAATGCGGACGGGTGCCCATGTGTGTGTGTGTGGGGGGGGGGGGGGGGGGGTTGGGGGGTATCAATCTGGACGTGTGTCCATGTTCACGCTTGTAATGCATGTTTTCCTTTGTTTATTTTGTAATTTGTTTGTGTGCATGTGTGCGCAGCTCAAACGGTGAATCCATCCTGACTGGCCATGCTGATGGCTCTATCCATCGCTACATGTTCGACAGTTCCGGTGGTGGTGCAGGACATAGTGCTGTAAGTTGCTGCTGCTATTGTTGCTGCTATTACTGCTGCTGTTGTTGCTGCTGTTGTTGCTGCTGCTGCTATTGCTGCTGCTATTGCTACTGTTGCTGCTGTTGCTGCTGTTGCTGCTGTTGCTGCTGTTACTGTTGCTGCTGCTGCTGCTGTTGCTCTTCTCTTGTTCTAAAGCCACGAAGACCAGTGACAACTGAGGTAGTTGGTGTAACCATATTGTTGTTGTCGTCGGCATTGTCCTTTTTGTTGTGGCCACTGCATCTGCTGGTGCTATCGCTGTTGTAGTCAAGGACGTCTTGGGATATGATCTAACGTTGTTGTTCTCAAGGGAGGGTACAACCTACCCGAGGAGGGTATTGCAGAATTGGCTCACCATTACGCCCAGCCCCGTGCTTGCTGTATTCATTCAGTGAGCCACGTCTGAGCTGTGTGTGTTATTTGTGTTGCTATGCCGTGTTCAGGGCCGTGTTCTGACGCACACATGCCCGCCCTACGCTCTCTCCTTCGCGTCCAACTGCGTGCTTGCTGGCGGCTGTGACAGCAAGCTCATTGTTTATGATATGGATGGTAAGGGAACACACAGCACACATTCAGACACACCACCGCCACCACCACTAACAACACTAACACCACCACCACCACCACCACCACCACTAACACGAACACCACCACCAATACATCGCCACTACCACCACCATCATCACCACCACCACCACCACCACCACCGCCAACAACAGCAGCAGCAACCACAAAAACGCCGCCACAACCACCACCACCACCACCCCTCCTCTCTAATGCATCCTTGCTTGTACAGTCAACCTTAGGTATAACAACTCACGAATAAAAACACGAAACGACACAATCTTCAGGCCTAGCGACCATTTGCCTGCATACTTTGAACCTCATGAACATTGATAACTCGTGATTAATGGCACTTCTCTCCTGCCCGATCTAGGGTCGTTATTCGCAAAGTTGATTGCGCGCCCATTAGTTGTGCTACAGTCCATTCAGAAAAAGATGGACTTCTAGCTTTTGGCCAAAAATGGGTCAAACTTTAGTTTTTTTAGAATTTTTTCTGCAATCCCCTATGGAATCCTCTTCCAATTATGTTTCTGAAGTTTTTTTATCCAAAAAGCGAGCCATAACAAGAATAAGATTTCGGCCAGGTTTTGCCCCGAAAGCACTGAATTGGGAAAACCATAAAAATCCAGGCCGTTTGACCCCGCCTGCAACAGTGCATTGTGTGGTTCGAACCCCAGTTCAGGTATCCTTTTTGGACCCTTTTTCAAATTTCAAATCTAGCAGCACTGTGTATGATGAAATCACGAAAAATCGCCAAATACAGGAGCTCACCAGAGCTGCAGGGTCCATCTTTTTTTCTGAATGGACTGTAGTACATGTACTGCTAGTTGCAGTCTATTGTGTTGTAGTACATGCAGTTGTAAGCTTTATATGTATGGTGGGTAAGCTGTGTGGCATGTGCAGATCCATAAGACAACCAGAGAAGCCCTATGTGAGAGGCAGAGTTGTGACACACTTTTCCGACTGACGGTTATCCACTATAGCATAGAACTTTGAACTATGGGTGGGATCAATCCTGCCGCTATTTTTGACCCGTGTGTGTGTGTGTGTGTGTGTGTGTGTGTGTGTGTGTGTGTGCGTGTGTGTGTGTGTGTGCGTGTGTGTGCATGTGTGTGCATGCATGCATGCATGCATGCATGCGTCCATGCATGTGTGTGTGTGTTTGTGTGTGCGTGTGGTGTGTGTGTTCTGTTGCTGTGAAGGCCGTGTGTTGCAGAATTTTGACTACAGTCGTGACGGCAGCGGCGAACGTGAGTTCTCCTGTGCTGCCACCAGCCCTAATGGACAGACGGTGGTGTTTGGAAGCTTCAACCGGTAAGGATGTGTGTGTATGTGTGTGCGTGTATGTGTGGGTGTGGGGGTGTGTGGGTGTGGGTGTGTGTGGATTTACATGGTACCTAGTGTGTTTGTGTGCGTGGTGTGTACTTCTGCATGTGAAGTTATTCTGCATGTGAAGTTTTTCGGCTGAATGCAGTTCATGTGATGGTCGTCTTGTACTTGCACGCGTATTGGGATGTGTGTACATCTATGTTTGTTTGTGCCTTTGTATACCGTTCTGTCAGCTTGCGTGTGTTAGGTTGGAAAGCCGGTCCACAGATGTGGGAGGAGGCTAAGGCTAAGGAAGTGGAGAATCTCTATACGGTCACGTGCATGTCGTTCAGAGCTGATGGATCACGCCTTGCATTGGTATGTGTTTTCTATGTTGTGTTGGGGGGGGGGGGGGGGGGCAGTGTGCTTGCATTGGTATGTGTTTATAGGTTGTGTTGGGGGGGGGGGGGGGGGGGGGGCAGTGTGCTTGCATTGGTATGTGTTTATAGGTTGTGTTGGGGGAGGGGGGGGGGGGGGGCAGTGTGCTTGCATTGGTATGTGTTTATAGGTTGTGTTGGGGGGGGGGGGGGGGTGGGGGGGGGGCAGTGTGCTTGCATTGCTATGTGTTTATAGGTTGTGTGGGGGGGGGGGGGGGCAGTGTGCTTGCATTGGTATGTGTTTTCTATGTTGTGTTGGGGGGGGGGGGGGGGGGGGGGGCAGTGTGCTTGCATTGCTATGTGTTTATAGGTTGTGTGTGGGGGGGGGGGGGGGGGGGCAGTGTGCTTGCATTGCTATGTGTTGTCTATGTTGTGTTGGGGGGGGGGGGGGGGCAGTGTGCTTGCATTGCTATGTGTTTATAGGTTGTGTGGGGGGGGGGGGGGGGGGGGGGGCAGTGTGCTTGCATTGCTATGTGTTGTCTATGTTGTGTTGGGGGGGGGGGGGGGGGGGGGCAGTGTGCTTGCATTGCTATGTGTTTATAGGTTGTGTGGGGGGGGGGGGGGGGGCAGTGTGCTTGCATTGGTATGTGTTTATAGGTTGTGTTGGGGGGGGCAGTGTGCTTGCATTGGTATGTGTTTATAGGTTGTGTTGGGGGGGGGGGGGGGGGGGGGCAGTGTGCTTGCATTGGTATGTGTTTATAGGTTGTGTTGGGCAGAGTGCTTGAGATGCATTTCGTACATACTGTGATCCTCTGGTCCTCTTGGCAGTCATGTCAAAGAAACCGAGGATACGTTTTTGGCAAGATCGGCGGTTCAACTTATGAGCTGAGGAGGATGTAGAGAATGAGAGCTATTTGAATTGCGTGTGAGACAGGTTCACAGCAACTTGTATGGATGTGCAATGGTATTCCTGTTCCTGCTGCCGCTGCTGCTGCTGCTGCTAGCATCGGCGTTGTCGTTTTAAAAAAACTTATTGTTGCTGCTGCCATTGCTGTAACCGGTTGTTGTTGTTTCCCATCTTTATTCTCACGTGTTGGTGTTGTGGAAGCGAAGGCTATATCTTGTGTGTTTCTGAACATTCAAGTGATGCTAACGCGGATCCCGCGAATATTATTATTTATTTATTGTTGTTGTTGTTGTTGTTATTGTTTCAAATCTTTATTCTCACGATATCCAGTGGCCAATAAGAGATATTGTTGTTGTGGTTGTTGTTGTCATTGTTTAGGGCTCGCTGTGTGGCGCAGTGGAGCTGTATGACTGCTGTCTACGCCGTACTATCTACAAGAACAAGTTTGAGCTGACCTATGTCGGTGTCAGTCAGGTAAGAACAACTACAACCAGAGCTGGAACTACTACTCGTGTTCTTGTGTTTGTACAGTATACTACTGTGCAGGGTCAGCGCTACTACTAGTGTTTAGGGGCGTACACAGGGTTCTTCAGAGGGGGGTTACATCGGCATGCATGTAACTGCGGCGCATAGATATCACGATATCGGTACTCTATGCGTATGCACGTGCAGTGCGAGATGAGAATCTGGAGGGGGGGGGGGGTGTTCGCCTGCACCCCTCGAACCCCCCGGGTACGCCCCTGGTGTTCCTGTGTTTGTACAGTATACTGTGCAGGGTCAGCACTACTGGTATGGCGGGTACAGTACGGCCCAGGCCATGCCAGTTCTTTTTTTTTTTACCAATGCCAGTGTTCAGGGAATGTTCAGTGTGCAATTGATTATGTGGACGTAGTACTGAGCAATCCTCGTATGCTCCTCCTAGAGTCTTTCTCCTAAACTGTTCTTCTTCTCTAATGAAGACTACTATGCTAGCTGTCATATCTGTTGTTAGAGGAATGTGTAGCTGAAACAAACAGATGTGATTCATAGAGCTAGAGATGCGTCCTCCCATGGTACTCATATTGGCCATGCGGAGATGATTGGCTGTGTAGCCGACCTGGGGGCGTACAGCCACTACCGGCGAGGGTTTGTGTTTGTGTGTATATGTGTGTGTGTGGGGGTGGGGGGGCTGCTGCGTGTGTCCGTACAGTGGTGGTGGCGGGGGTGGACATACTATTTTGTATCACATTGTTAGCATGATACTCTGGACATGATAGGAAAGACCATCCACGCACCAGTGTTTTTTGTTGTTGTGGACATGGGTTCTTCACCGTTTTCACCGTGTCCTCATGTTTGCATTTTTTGCATTGTTTGCACTGTTTTGCACTGTAGGTGATTGTGAAGAGGCTATCAACTGGTGCCAGAGTGATACTACAGTCACTGACTGATAGCGCTGTAAGTACCATGGGGTACAGGTGCAGTCCCATGGGGTACAGGTGCAGTCCCATGGGGCACAGGTGCAGTCCCATGGGGCACAGGTGCAGTCCCATGGGGTACATGTGCAGTCCCATGGGGTACATGTGCAGTACCATGGGGTACAGGTGCAGTCCCATGGGTACCGTACAGGTGCAGTACCATGGGTACCGTACAGGTGCAGTCCCATGGGGTACAGGTGCAGTCCCATGGGGTACAGGTGTAGTCCCATGGGGTACAGGTGCAGTCCCATGGGGTACAGGTGTAGTCCCATGGGGTACAGGTGCAGTCCCATGGGGTACAGGTGCAGTCCCATGGGGTACAGGTGCAGTCCCATGGGGTACAGGTGCAGTACCATGGGGTACAGGTGCAGTCCCCCCCCCCCCCCGCAACATCCTCACATATCCACATATCAATGTGACCAGTGGTGTAGCTGGTCCCCCCTTTGGGGGGGGGGGGGGGGGGGGGGTGCACTGCCGCATATGTGTAGGATGTCTGGCCGCCGGCTGGTGCATGCCATTCATGGTCATTATGTGCATGCTGAACCTAGGTTGACATTTGGGGGGGGGGGGGGGGCGTGCCTGAATGTCTGATGCTTAGAACCATGAACTGAGCATGTGCATCTAACCTTTTAGGAAGTCCCCAGTCTCTCCACGATCACAGTATCAGCTCCAATACGAAATGTGTGGGATTCCTGGTGATAATTCAAAGTTATCAAGGTGTAATTCAAAGCTCATTGTGCATGCGCGTGCATGTCTGTCTGTGTGCGCGTATGTATATGCATGCTTGTGTGTATGTGTACGCGTATTTGTGTGGGTGGGTGTGCGTATGCGTGTGTGTATTTGTACTTGCATGTGCAGTTGGATCGTATTCAAATCATGGGAGGGGATCGTTACATTGTTGCCTACACGCCGTCCACTCTGATCGTCGGTGACATGGAGGAACAGAAAAACAGTGAGGTAGGTGCACAGCCTGTGGGTACCCGTTCTTTCCGCAGAGTTCTCTCCGAGTTCTGTCCTGCTGGATATGGTACAGAACATTGACGCAGCATAGCCTACACGCTTCTCCTCCCTAAAGAAATCATGTACATTATTGATAAGGCTCTTCTTTTCACTCATCAGGTCAGTAGATCCTAACAGCTGTTCCTAACAGCAGCTCTTCGCAATGAAATACGTTTCCGTGAAGCCTGTAGTACATGTATGTTGTATCCAGGGTACTATGCACTGAACTGTTGCACATTGCGTGTCTGGCTCAGCATCAGGCCAACGGTGTACTTGCGACCAGCCTGGTATGTGCTACGAGGGCCACTTAGCTGCATGGAACTGCTGTTGGAGTTCACTGAAGCTCCAGCTGGAGTCTGACTACTCACTCACTCACTCACTCACATGATCTTTCGTGTATGCACACGCACATCCGCGTTTCTGTTGCTGTAGATTCCCTTCAACTCAACTGGCAGTGAGAAGTTCTACTTTGAGACAGAGAAGGTGAGGCTTGTAGAAGTCCAATGTATGCGACACCTTTTCATATATTTTTTTGCTATCTTTTTTTGTGTAGCATGTTGCATGTGTGTTCTCTGTATGCTAGATGGTGAGTATTGCTTATTCAGTTGAGCTCTAGGAATTTGAGGTCTGGATGTCAACAGCATCTAGTGGACCTTATTTTTCTATTTGTCTCTATGTGTCGCCTGTCTCTTCCCCCCTCTCTCTCTCTATCTTCCTCTGTGCGTGTCTCCCATCCTTCTCGTTCTCTGTCTTTCTCTGTCCCGTCTTGCCATGTCCAGGTGTGTATGATCTTCAATGCTGGAGAGCTGATGCTACTGGAGTATGGCTCCAATGAGATCCTGTGTGCTGTTCGTACTGAGCTTATCAACCCACACCTTGTCAGGTGAGCTTCAATGTGTTGAACTGTACCATGATTTCGAGCTACCATATTTCCCCGATTGTAAGTAGCACTCGATTGTAAGTCGCACCCCTATTTCCAGGTCCATGTAATATCGTTCTGATAATTATATTCATTTCAGTGGTAAGTCATGCTCGATTGTAAGTCGCAGCACCCCCTTTATTGGCCCTGAAGCTAAGTCAGTAAGTGTAGAAAGGTGCGACTTATATTCGGGGAAATACGGTGGTCCTGCTTCATATTCGAATCCAGGCAAATGCAAGTCCTACCTATTCTTGTTCTACTTCATAAGTCCTAAAACCGTATCATATGTTAAACATGAAGTATTAGGATGTGTATGTATGTGTATAGAACCCGGGTACCTCAGACAACTAAAGCGGCTATGAACGTGGCCGTCTCTGTTCGATGGTTAGATCACTGGCAGTGGTTTGCAGTGTGGCATTGAAGCAGTGATTGATTTGGCATGTACTAGTATTGTAAAAACTTGCTGCTGGCTGTGCCTCTGTATAGAGGAAGGTTGAACACAACAAATATTCGGCGTATATATACCGAAGGATGTACCCAGAGTGCTTGATAGTGCTCAACACCACAAAGCGGCGTATATATATATATATTTTTTTGGCTATATTCGGCCTGGTCTATTGACACCTAACATTTGTTGCAGCTGAGATTTTGGTTTGTAAGGTTCAGTGTGACAGTGTATACAGGCAGCCGCAGTACAGGCTAAACATTTTAGTGCGGCCGAAATGTGCTTTAGCCCTCGGAGGCTGAAATTTGAACGCGCTGAAAATGTGTCGAGTCTGTAGACTAACGGTACGAGGAACTCAGCTGCACAGGTTTCAGAGGAGAGTTCCACTGCCTTCCGGTATCCAGAGCATGACGCATTTCAAATTCAAGGTGTTTTCTAGTGATTTCGGAGGGCTAGAGACTGGTGTGTGTGTGTGTGTGTGTGTGCGTGCGTGACTGCGTGTGTGCGTGCGTGTGTGTGCGTGTGTGTGCGTGTGTGTGTGTGTGTGTGTGTGTGTGTGTGGTCACACACGTCTTTCTTCTCTTTCCCGGACTCTTCCTGACTTTTCTTTCATTCTCCTGGGTGGTTACCAACAGCCAGTGTATGCCAGAGTATGTGGTGTGGTGTGTGAGTGTAGAAAAAATGGAAAAATGAAAAATAGGGATTCACTGGCCAGAAAAAAGTCACTTCAATCAGCTGTGTGGTGGATACCAGGCTAACATTAGTGGCGGTCAATTCATCAGCCTTGCAAGCTGTTGAATGGTGTAATCCCAGCACAAGTTGCTATGTCTAACATAGCTGTTCACTATCATCGCTTCCGCGATGGGCAGGTCTGAGATGTGTGTGTGTGTGTGTGTGTGTGTGCGTGCGTGTGTGCGTGCGTGCGTGTATGTGTGTTCTGGCAGTGTGAGGTTGAATGAGCGAGCAGTGCGTCACCAGGGTGACATGAAGTTCATGGCGTATCTGGTGGACTGGAAGACTATCTCCATCAGTAAGTCACTTGATATGTATAGAATCAAGCATGGTACGAAGGGCTTGGTGGAAAATTCATGCCCGCGTGTGTACGCTCTCGGGCTTGCCCGAGAGCGTACACACAAGGGCATGGAGTGCCCGAGTGCGTATGGCCGAGGGCTACGCACGAGGGTACGCATTTTCCATCAAGACCTTTGTACCATGCTTGATTGTATTTCAAACATACCGCATACATCAACAAGCAAACAGTCACACCATGTCGGTACATCGGATTTGATTTACTTCAAGTACAAAGAGCAGAAAAGAGAGGGGAGTAATTCATATCTATCTTAGACAAGATAGGCAGAGTGTTCACTTAGTGCTGTTGGTGTTGATTGAGAAGCTTGCTCCAGCAAGGTTAGCACCAGTGAAATCTATTCTTGGCAGCTGAACAGAAGCAGGTTTCGATTGGGGAGTTTCAAGAGCCTTCAGCTCTGCTCCAGTGCACGATGCCAGGGTGTCATCTAGCTCATCATGACCATATGCTGGGACTGCCACTGGAGCAGGCCTTGGTGGTAGTGGAAGTAATGGCAAATCAGTTGAAATCACCGAAGATGGCATCCACATCATCTGCACTTAGACTCGGAAATGTCGGTAAGTACAGATCAGGTGTAGGGCTTCTTAACTCGACTGCTCCACCGGACGAGGCTGCCGATGCAGCAGATGGTATGCATACAAACCATGGTGATTCTTTATGAAGTTGCTGACGAAGTTGGCACAGGTAAGGCAAGCTTGTCCAACAAAGACGCCATTGACTGCTGTTGTTGCTCTGATGGGCGGCTGTCAGACTGGAGGCTTTGGGCGTTCTTGTGGACCGTGATTGCCAAGATTCTCCTGTCTGCCACGCCTTCTGCTGCCAGGGTTGTCACTAGGGTGGCCCTCACACAGTGGTTAGTGTGCCGATATCTGGTCTGAGTTTGTTGACTGATGTCCAGCGTCATGTTGTCTATCTTATCCTTACCAATTGGTGACGCAAAGTACCAAATGGATGCTCTCTGCCCGTTAGCAAGAAACATGGGTCGTTGGAATAGCCTGTCGCACTTCGGGTTCAGCTTGCTTAGGTACATCTTTATAGAGAACACCTGATGAGAATCTTGCACTCTGCTATCACGGACGAATCACTCTGGTGGTTTTTCGTGGTGAAGTCCGTACTGAGTGTTCAGTACTCTTCACCAGTGCTGTCCACACAAAGCTTCAGGTCAGAGATAAGCATCTTGGCTTGTACTTGTCGGCTTCTCAGGCTAAAGTGTAGCGTAACGTAAAACCAGACTTGCTTCAAGAGAGTTTCCGGGTCCTTAGTCTTGCCAAATAGGGTCATAATTGTTTTCATGTCTTCGGGCGTGATCGGTTGCTTGTGTTCAATGGGTCTCGTTTGGCCTTCGCGTTTGAGCTTTTTGAGAACTCCGTCGAAAACTTGATTACTTCTCTTGAAACAAGCGTCATTCATAATGTCAAAGCCACGATCAGTCATGTGGCGATGAACAGCCGAGCGGAAGTTGTTATACCTGTTACGCTGACACGTCTTTTTATCGTGTCGCCGCATGCCAATATAGCACTTAGACACTACATCCGCGAACTCTTCTTTCGAGCAAGCCTTCAAATCGCACGCTATGCTGTTCTCTCTCATGAATTTCTGGAGGACAGCCGCCCAAAACTTTGTTGCATCCTTGGTCGATTTTGGAACTCTCTCGTCAAGAACACTCTCAACATCTTCCTCAGAGACTTGCTCGAATCGTCGCTTACACCAGGTCTTACTGTAGTACTACTTCAAAGTACTACTATAGTAGTAGTAGTAGTAGTAGTGCATAAGGATGTCGCAAACATGCAAAAGATTGTGAGCCGTGTGGCGCTGTCGCAGCTCATCGCAGGTGTCGCAAGTCGCACGTCGCGTCGCAAGAAGTTGTATTGTGAATCGGCCTTAACAGTTATAATAAGATCAGAACTGAAAAAGAAGAAAGAATAGGTAATCGCCTCATAGGTGGGAGAGCCTCAGAAAGAGAGAACACTGAAAGGATACCGAAAAACAGACAAGCAAACAGGATAGACAGAGAGACTGGAAAGAATCCTGGGTACCATGGGTAGCGAAGATTGAAATCAATTCCTGCATAAAGGGTGGGGGCCCGGGTTTGAAAAAAATACTAAAAAATTCTGTTCCGAAATAAAAAAAATTAAAAAAAGGAATGCCGAAACCCGGGATTGAACCAGGGACCTTTAGATCTTCAGTCTAACGCTCTCCCAACTGAGCTATTTCGGCTGCACGGTTTCTTCCACTTGGGATATACACCAGTATAAGAGGGTGCACGAGTGAGAGAGCCCAACTTTGTTACAGTCAGACCTCGCTTATCCGGTCCTCTTTTATCCGGATCCCTCGCCATCCGCTAGATAATAGCTGGTTACATATTTACAGCACACGTGATACATCCAACATAAACAGTGTTCAGTTAACCGGTTCCCTCGCCTATCCGGATATTTTCGTGGAAAACGGACGTGTGCGGTTAAGCGAGGTCTGACTGTAGTAACTTTTTGGGACGGCAGGATCTGGATAATGGAGAGGTCCGGGGTACGATTTTCCGTGCCCAAATTCGCACAGGCGCTACTGATTTTTTTCCAGGCGTGCTTCATACGATTCGGCACGGATAATCCATGTGGACTGGCTTCATATGAACCATGTTTCGTATGGAGGCTTTGCGTCATCGAGTGCAGAACGATTTTTCGCGCACAATTTTGATACGAGATACATCAATTTTCCGCAGGAAGTTTTCATTTCGGTACAGATTTTCAAATCAAAGAGGCATTTCGCGGCCGCGCGGGAATGTGACGTTATTGCGATCGTAACCTAGGCAATGACGGCAAACACATAAATTCCGTACTCCGGAGCAGTTCACTACTGTAAATAATACTAAATATACAAATTTTCGGCAGCTATTTAATTTCGGCTATATTCGGCACCGACCCAAAACGCCTAAATTAAAACGCCGATGAAATTTTTCACAGCATCTGTCGCACTATACCATGCCTTCTACCCCAGGCCGAAAATAAATCGCCGCCGAAATGTCAAAAATCGTGAAGTGCCGAAATTTTGCAGCGCCGAAATTTTGTATATTTACAGTACTTGAGAACGACACATACAAATCCGCAACGCCTCTACGGATTTTGGCATGGAAAATTGTACTCCAGAACCTCTCTAATTGTAATTGCGTAGCCTGTCCAATAAAATTACAAGTCAGCCGCAATCGTAGGTGACCCCCCTCCCCCAGCCAGTATAATGTCGTGTATGTATTGCAGGGTTCTAGCCAGGTCAAAATAGTAGGGGGGTGGGCATGGGAAACAGTTACCCTATATCCCATTTTTCCACTTTCCAAGATTGTCTTGCCACGCCAAATGCAACGTATGGGGCGAATCCCTGACTTCACCACAGACAAATGTGCCTTTATGAACCATCTATGCATGAAAAACACGAAAATCGGAAAATGAGTAGGGGGGGGGGGGGGGGGGCAATTTTACACAGGGGGGCGCGCGAACAGAGTAGGGGGGGGGGGGGGGGAAGGCGCTGCGCCCCCCTTTGGCTAGAACCCTGTATTGATTGGGTAATGCATACAATTACAATTACAATTACAATGAGTTTACCTCCAGAAATAGCAATCTTGTGGACACACACAGGGATGGGCATGCACTCATGGGTTTGCATGACATTGTCTACATTAAATGTGTACAGTGCAACCTAATGTACCCTATTGTAGGGTCCAGGCATTGTATTATTCATTTTGCCTGCAGTCAGTGGTTTAGTTGATCAGCATGTTCTGATAACGAACCCGTCACTCCGGATTCTCCTTGTTACCAGCCTTGCAGAGATCTGAATAACCTGATACATGTTATGTTTGGTTGTGTGGTGTTGGTTGTGTGGTGCTTTGTGTGGTGTTGTGTGGTGTTGTGTGGTGTTGTGTGGTGTTGTGTGGTGTTGTGTGGTGTTGTGTGGTGTTGTGTGGTGTTGGTTGTGTGGTGCTTTGTGTGGTGTTGGTTGTGTGGTGTTGGTTGTGTGGTGTTGGTTGTGTGGTGTTGGTTGTGTGGTGTTGGTTGTGTGTGGTGTGTTGCGTGTTGTGTGTGGTGTTGGTTGTGTGGTGTTGGTTGTGTGGTGTTGTATGGTGTTGGTTGTCTGGTATTGTCATGGTGTGCAGTGAACTTGAGTTCATGTCGCGAAGTCGCTACTCTCAGTCATAATGTCAAGATTGATTGGCTGGAGGTAAGCCGTAGCTATTAAAAGCCTTGCATCACCACCACCACCGCCACCATCATCATCACCACCATCATCACCACCATCACCATCACCATCATCACCATTGAACAGCCTCGTGTACGGGCAAGCAAGAACGCAATACATCGAAATTCAATAGAATGAAAAAGAAAGGGAAAGGAACACAAAGAAACACCACCATCACCATATTGTGTCATATGTAGGCACATTTGCTTTGCCTGTACAAGAGGCTTTTCATCACCATCACTTAGCCTGAACTGGTGCCCGTGTCTTTGCACGTGTACATTATCACTGTTACCGTCATGTAGCCTGGGTTGCTGGAGATTGCGACAGGCAGCAGAGGCAGTGTCAACAATCCTTGTTGTGCATAACAACACCTAACAATGGAGATATGTTGTGACCATTCCAATTTAGAATGTTGTTTAGCATTGATCCTTAGAGGGTGGTGGCGTTCCCACGGCGGATGCGGAAAACTCGGCCTACAGCCGAGTCTCACGCGAACCGTGACATTTTTTATCTTATTTATTTTTTATCTTGACTAGTTTGAGCGAAAGACTCAAACGGGAAAAGTCTGAAGAAAAAATTGACTGTCACCACCAGGACTCGAACCAGGGACCCTCGCTTGTAGCTAGCTTTTTTATTTTTAGCATAGATATCCTCATTATCCTGGGAGTACCGTCGGCATGGTGGACATGGTAGCTTGTATTGCCACATGCTGACCTGTACATGCTGAACTGCATATGCTGGCCTTTTCACACTGGTACCAAGACTGTAGACTGTAGAACAGTGCAGCCAGTACTGCCCTCTGACTGTACTTGACTCTTGAGTTTGCTATGTGTACCTGGCTGCTGCTGCTGCTGCTGCTGGTGTGTGAGTGTGTGTGTGTGTGTGTGTGTGTGTGTGTGTGTGTGTGTGTGTGTGTGTGTGTGTGTGCGTGCGTGTGTGTGTGTGTGCGCGCGCGTGTGCGTGTGTGTGCATGTGCGTGTGCGTGTGTGTGTGTGTGTGTGTGTGTGTGTGTGTGTGTGTGTGTGTGTGTGCCACTTCAATCAGCTGTGTGGTGGATACCAGGCTAAAATTAGTGGCTGTCAATTCATCAGCCTTGCAAGCTGTTGAATGGTGTAATCCCAGCACAAGTTGCTATGTCTAACATAGCTGTTCGCTATCATCGCTTCTGCGATGGGCAGGTCTGAGGTCTGAGGTGTGTGTGTGTGTGTGTGTGTGTGTGTGTGTGTGTGTGCATACATGTATGGTTTATGCACTCTTTGTTCAGTTGAATGAGACCGGTACCAAGCTGTTGTTCCGTGATAAACGCTTGAAGGTGAGAACACCGCACTGTTAGTTTCTGGCATCCTGTCCCTACAACATGTATGATGCCATGTTTCTATCTTTGAATGTAAGACCGCCTTTGCTTGCAGTACTGTCGGTCGCCGAAGAGCTGGGGGGGGGGGGGGGGTCAGCCTCCTAGCCTAGACCATTCTTATTTTCATGTACTACAGCCTATGCACGTTGAGTCACCGTGTATGCTGTGCTTGGTGAAATTCTAGCCTGGTCGTTCTTTCGGCGCCCGACAGAACTGTATCGGGTAAAGGCAGAGGTAGCCCAGCCCTTAGTAAACTTATACTGCATGGGGTCGGTAGGGGTAAGAGAGGCGAGACCTTTTGGTTCCGTAAACTTGATGTAGTGAGGGCGCGCTGCTCATCTCCTTGGTCTCGTGTACTTCAGACGAAACACTGCTGTTCATTGAGCTCTCAAGACACGTTGCCAGGGCTTCCTTGCAATGAGCTTTGGAACGTTCAACAATGGTGTTGTGACTTGGAAGCTACACACCTAGTATTGATCTTTGTTGGGTTATTCTGTTCATGCCTTGGTCGGCTCTCACCCGTCATCTCAACTCAAGTGTAGGCAGCCAGAAGATGTTGTCTAAATACATAAATACTGTTATGTTCTACTGTGTACTGTCTTGCTACCTGTTGTGTTCTGCTGTGTGCTGTCTCACTAGCTATGGGTGTATGATGTGGATTCACAAGTCAAGACCGGCGTTGTCAGCTACTGTACCTACGTACAGGTTAGTGGTGTAGTGATGTAGTTGTGTAGTGGTGTAGTGATGTGGGGTAGTGCCTTTGCTGTTTGCATTATGCAGAGCTCACTGACTTGTCAGTTTGAGCACTCTGGCAAGGTACGTTCGGGCCTGGTTTAAGTCTGGCTTTGGAAAATTTATTTTTCATTGCTATCAAGTTATGATGAAGAAAGGAAAAGGACAAAATGTTACGAGTTATCACCATCCGAGTTTAAATTTGCTATCAAGTTCGGCCTCATTTCCTCTGTGCTGCGCTGATGAGTCCACAAAGGACGAAACAGTTCTGTCCACAGATTGAGTAGTGGTGTGGTGGTGTAGGCCATGTACTGCTGCAGACACTGGAATCCGTGAGAAGTCAAGCGGCCACGGGGCGCTGGCTGACAGATGTGAGCACTGCTGGTCCTTGTTTGCAGTCGGGGATCTGCTGCTTCTGTTGGTGCTGGGGACCACCATTGTTGCTTGTATAGTTTCTGATACTGTTTAGTGCAGTGGCTGTGTTTTCTCCTCGAGTGGTGTTACATGCGTCTTGTTTCTATTCTAGACCTGATCCATGGGAATGTATGTGTTGTGTGTGTGTACACGTGTGTGTGTGTGTGTGTGTGTGTGTGTGTGTGTGTGTGTGTGTGTGTGTGTGTGTGTATGGTACATGGTACATGGTGTATGTATGTGCGTGTGCACTACCTGCAGTGGGTACCTCAGAGTGATGTAGTAGTTGCACAAAGCAGATCCACACTGTGCGTTCTCTACAACATTGACAGACCCGATCAGATTACTCCGTTGCAAATCAAGGTACAGTACTTGTAGATATAGTGTGTGTGTGGGTATGTGTGTGTTTGTGTGTTTGTATTTGTGTGTTGGGGGGGGGGGGGGGGGGCAGACAAAGGCAAAGACGGCGACAAAAGGCGAGGCACGGAGATATACGAGACAGACAGAGACAAACAGAGACAGAGATGGATAGTACATATTCGTCTGGTTACACCTAACTTCCCAGAATGTTTGTTGTCTCTTTGTTGTCAGCTTGCGTGACTATACAGATATGGGATCCTGTTTGTTGACTTTGGGGTTTCAAGACACATGTGTTCTGAGTGCACCCCCCTCTCTCTCTCAGTGTATAACTGTGTACTGTTTCTGGTGTTGTTCACGCCATATCGCATATGTGTTTTGTATACTCTGTGCATGTGTGTGTGTGTGTGTGTGTGCGTTTGCTAACAGGGTGACATACTGGACTTGAGCAGGCAGAATGGCAAAACACAGGTGTTGGTATCGGAGGGTAACACTACGGTGTCCTATGACCTGGATGAAGGATTGATTGAGTTTGGCACAGCCATGGATGATGGTGACTATAACAGGTACAGCTTCAGGGACTTAGTGACTGGCCTGGCTTAGGCCCGGCTACTTCTGTTTTATGCTTAAGTAGAAAGCGACGTTGTCAATGGTATGTTGGTGTATTGTTGGTCAACTCATCTTCAGTTGTAGATTTTGGTGTATGTACAGTGTATGCACGGTGTCTGATCATTCTATCATATCTATGGCTATGAAAAAAATGTGAAGCTGTGGCGTGGTGAGCTTTTATAGCGCGACCCTGTCCAGCTATGGCGTCCACCAGCGCATGTGCATATTTTGGCCCTGGCACAGAGGTATCTTGACTCTTATCTGCAACTCTGGAGCAAGACTACGCTAGCGTTCCAGCCCCCCCCCCCACCACCACCACCACCACCAGTGGTGCTTTGGTCTCCCTGGTGCAAAGTGATTATAGCAAAGTCCTTGACAAATTTTTATCTGCTTTTTTTCCTATGGCAGGGCGGTGGCATTCTTGGAGAATCTGGAGCTGTCACCGGAGACCATTGTCATGTGGCGCCAGCTCAGTGACTACTCTTTCGCTGATCATCAATTGGCTGTAGCGAGGCGGTTAGTTCTTGTGTTGCTTGATGACAATGTGTGTATGTCACTCATTGCGAGTGTGTGTGTGTGGGGGGCATCAGTATGATTGTTGTTCATGTATTTGTGCCTGTGTGTGCCTATTGCCAAATTGCCTGCAAATTGTAGACCGTTCTGTGCGCATTCTCCACAACGTGTGTATTACCCAAGATACCAGCCAGAAGTTTCACCCAACGACTTGTCAACCGTGTACAGGATGTAGTGCTCTGCCCAGGCAGAATCTTGGCTAGAGTGCTTGGGTGCACAGTCAACTGGTGCCTATGTGATGTACACAACCAACACCAGTGACCTAGTCAAATTGTTGAGCCAGTGCTTTGCTGAGTTTGCCTATCCACCCTTTGAGATTCAGTTGTTTAGCCGTCATGCAATGCATTGATTGGGTGAACAGAACATTTAAATTTGAATGCCCTGTAGCTATGGTTACTTGTCGTATGCGTATCCGTGACGACCGTGTCCTGTCCACACTGTCCACACTGTTGCGGTTCAGTTGCTTTGCGGCCATGGGCGACATTGACCAAGTGGAGTACATTGACAAGGTGCTGGCCACGGCCGAGGCAGCTGCCATTGAGCAGGGTGGTGGTGACGGCATGCAGCACTATGATGTCCAGGCACGCCTTGCTGTCATGGGTGGTCACTATCAACTGGCTGAGAACCTATATCTCACTCAGGTACAAGTTAGCAGTGGAACTACTCAGTAGCTAGGCGCGATTAAGCTGTAACTTGGGAAGTTTCATGGCTATCCGCCAAGCCAATGCTCAGACAACAATGATGATACTGGTGGAAAGTACCTAGATATACTCACTCACTCACTCAGTCACTCAGTCACTCACTCACTCACTCACCCTCTTAGTCACTCGCTCACTCAGCTATACACAGTACTGCTGGCCACTGTATCCACTACCTATGCTAGCATTGCACCAAGCTACTCTCTACTTGGTAGCCACTGGCACACAGCTGCATTAGGCATGTGCTCTGGCGGCAGCTGAAAAGCTGCTGCCAGTGATCGGGGCAGTAGCTGTTCACGACTCCTGGACATTTCGTAGTGTATTGTATTTATTATTTACTTGGGCATTCCCAACAGATGCGAAGGTATTCTTACAGGGTGCCCAAGATGAATGAATGTAAAAGTTCCTGGCGAAATGAATTGGGGATATGATTAGTGCGAAGGGATTCGGGAAGCGCATTAAAGCGGTCAGCAACAAGGAATGAAATCGATGTGTATCCAGCTTGAGTTTGCACAATGGGTAAAGAAAGCTGGCCTTGGCTCCTGACCAACATGCTACATGCACTGCTGCAAGTCGCAGAGATTTAAAACATGTGTTGGGTTCTTTCCAACTGACTTTCATGCCCGGCATGAGGCTTGTTTTCATAATTATGTCGGAAACTTGCATTCAGGTACCCGATGCCTGGTACTGTGAGTCGACAAATTTTCGGCCCATTCAAATTTTGGCCTCCCAGGGCTAAAACTCATTTTGGCTGCAACTAATTTTTCGGCCTGTACTGCTGCTGTCTGTATACACTCTCACACTGAACCTTGTAAAACAATATTTCGACTGCAACAAATTTTCAGCCAAATATGATCAGGCCGAAATAGCCGAAAATAAATATGCGCCGACTTACAGTACCTGATACCCAGTTGCACACAGAATGATGTCTGGTAGGAAATTACTACTGCCAACGTTGACTGCTATTGTGTTGGGCTGTGTATACGGTGCATTGTGCCTGTACTGTATTCTCTCAGTGACATTGCTATTGCTGTTAGCATGCCTTTCTGCTGGCATGCATGTGTTGTGGTGTGGTGTGGTGTGGTGTGTGTGTGTGTGTGTGTGTGTGCGCGCGCACGCGTGTGTGTGTGTGTGTGTGTGTGTGTGTGTGTGTGTGTGTGTGTGTGTATGGACATGATTATGTCTCTATAACTACTACTGTGCAGGGTAGAGTGGAT